TTATATGAGAAACGATTACTAGCATTAGATTCTTATTATTATCATAGATACCATGCTTTTAGCGGGATGTTAAGTCTATATTATATCTATTTATACATGCCATAACTTTACTAGAACTTGAATCATTCTGATCAGTCCGGCACATAACGGTCCCGCGCATGCTGTACTCTTCGGGCAAGGGAATCCCGGTCTCTGTCTTGAGGCCGTGGTCCACGAGAGTACTGTGGCTTGCCAATTCGGCCACGAGAAGCCCGTCCGCTGCCTCTATAGACTGGAGTAGGCGTCCGATGGGACGCCACGGGATCCCGACGGCTCCTTTGAGTGTTTGTATCTACATCGCTATACTGAACGTTGCGGTCCCAATCTTGTAAAGAGATAAAAGGACTTCTTAGCCAGGCCTGGAGCTCATGCAGAAACAAGGACGCATTATCCCGTCCTAGAAAGTCCCTGAGGAGCTCTTCGGCCTGCCCCGCGCTGCCTTTGATATCGACGGTACGGAGAATGGCAATGATATACTCAAGGAGAAACTCCGCATTGTTTCCACGGCGATTTTCAAGCCGCTGTTGCCCCGGTCGAGTCACGGTCGAGGAGTCGGCTGGGGTGTCAGGATGAAGAAACTCGAAGACCAGAAGCTCTCTTCGAATCCATTTGCGCGCTCGCGATACTAGCTCTTCATCCCTGTTGAACATCTCCGGTGTAAATTCACGGTACTGAGATAGCCGATTCGAGCCAACGCGGAGTGAGTAAAGGCGGTTGCGGTAGACTTGTTGTCTACGAAGGAGGGGGTCATCTGGGGCTCGTCGCGGGGGACTTCGCGGGCGTCGCGGGCGACGGGGATTCCGATGGGGTGGTCGGCCATATGGGTAGATATGCCCTGAAGAGGCTACGTTTTCCGACGACCGCGGGAGATCTGGGAGATGGTAGGTTTTTGGGCCGTCCGAACGGTCGAGATTGTATTTGACCGAGGAGACGCCACTCTTACCTAGAGAAAAAGGTCAGAAACATGCTTCAAAGGGCCGTCACAGGTAACCGTACAGAGGGGACAATTGCGACGCTGTTCCAGCCAGCTCACAAGACACAAGAAGTCAAAGTTTGCATGATTACAAGACACTGCGACAGCAGGTTCTGTGATGGGTTCCAGGCAAATGACGCATGGGTCCGACACATCTTCCCGCTGCTGCTCCTGCGCTACCTCTTGGAGAGTTCGCTGCAGAATCCGCTGTTGAATGTCACCATCATCTGTCATTAGTTGAGCGCGGCCCAGTACTGGAGTGGGTGCTTTCCGGACTGGAGGGGACGTCGAGTAGTAGAGAGAAAGTTGACAAGCCGTTCCAGCGGGTCACGTTGTCCGCGGCGGCAACAATTTTCGGAGCTTCCAAAAAAGCACGAACTGACCTGGAACTTCCCCCCAAAGAAGCAAAGAAACGCTCGTTGCTACAAATCTGTTCCTCAAGCTGAGAAATCATCGCATTTGACCTTTTGAAATAACATCTAGACTCTAGCGATATCATGCCCTTCGGACTATGATCAAGAGATCTGCCAAATCAGTTGTTGACGCAATGGCGCGCGGAGCACAGAACGGCGCTGCGATGGACTACCAATCTTCATCACGGACAATCACTGGACTAAGGCGGTGGTCTATAATAAACAGAGAGCTGCCAGGTGAGGCCTTTGCCGTGTCTTTCGATGCTGTTAGCACAGACGAGTGACTAACTTTGCTTGTCTACATTTCAGGAGCGCCGCAGGTGAAAGCGATCCACGTATACGACTTCGATAACACCTGTAAGATTAGATATTGAAGTTTGGAACCTCGAACATCGCCGGGTTAATCGCTTTATGCAGTATTTCTGAGTCCTTTGCCAAATCCGCAGTTATGGAACGGCCCGAGTGTTGGGTTTCTACAAGCCTACGAAAGCTTTGCGAATGGGGGATGGTGGCATGATCCAAACCTGCTATCTGCCACTGGCGATGGCATAGAGAAAGAAGAGTCACGCGCCTGGAAAGGGTGGTGGAACGAACGGATTGTGCGAGCTATACACACATACCCATCGGACGTTGACTGATTACATATAGGTACAATTGGTTGAGCTGAGCATGAAGCAGAAAGACGCACTCACAGTGCTCCTGACTGGGCGAAGCGAGGCCGGCTTTTCTGAAGTCGTCAAGCGTATCGTTGAGAGCAGGAATCTTCACTTTGATCTCATATGCCTGAAGCCTGAGGTTGGGCCAAATGGCGAGCGATTTCGGTCGACGATGGAGTTCAAGCAGAACTTCCTCACAGACATAGTTCTCACTTATGAGCAGGCAGATGAAATTCGGGTCTATGAGGATCGTCCGAAGCAGTGAGTTTGATGCAAACAAATCTGCCCATTTGGTGCAGGATTTCCATTCTGACCTGTCGCAGTGTCAAGGGCTTCCGCGACTTCTTCGAGTCGCTAAACCGGAATCTCCAAGTCATGAACAGTCCCGGCTCACGAAAGGCAATTACCGCGGAAGTTATTCAAGTAGCTGAAGGGTCTGTGTACCTGTCCCCTGTAATTGAAGCTGCTGAAGTGCAGCGTATGATCAATTCCCACAATGTTGCTTCTCGCAACCCGGCGCTGAACGTGACCAAATCACCTTATGGTCGGCTATGCATAAGGCGTACCACCTACTTCACAGGCTATCTTATCCCAAACACGGATTCCGATCGCCTGATCAGACAATTATTGAACCCGCTGTTACCACACGGGCTCGCTGATTCAAATGACCTGAAGTATATGGCTAACAGTATTTTGATCTCCCCCCGGCCCGCAAGTCGTTCTATACTAGACAAAGTCGGGGGTATCGGCAGAAAACTGAGCTGGACTGTGACTGGGACTGGTGTCTTTGAGAACAAAGTCTGGGCCGCTCGACTGCAACCAGCTCTGGGCACAGAAAAGTATCACACAGAGAACAAAGTCCCTTTTGTGGTTCTAGCGATACGCAGAGGAGCTCGCCCTATTGATGCATCAAAAATTCACAATTGGCAACCCGTGTCCAATGATAAGGCTCTTACTGTTGAGAGTGTCGTGGGCGAGAAGGTCGTCTTACGCATCGAGGAGGATGGTCAAGGCGACTATGAAGGTCAGTTTATGAACAAGACTGGCAAGAGGCGTCACCAGCAGGAGCGGGAAGATGATATTCTCTACCCTGGGCAGAGTAGTGCGGAAGGACCACAGGGTCGTCATCATCACTATCCGCCACGCCACGGCGGGAACAACCGGCATGCGCACGATGATGGGCCTCGTCGCGGAGGCTATCGCGGCCGTGGCCGTGGTGCTGGTACACGAGGTAGGGGGTACAATCCACATCGTGGAGGTGGTCGCGGTAGAGGCCGTGGGCGTGACGCAGGCCATCCAAACTATAAGTCTCTAGATGATCAGTCTGCGCATGAGGGTGGCGGCGGCAGCTATGACGAGAAACCACGAACAAGTACCGGAGGAGGTCCGATCATGGACTATTAGCTTCGCAAATATCCTCATTTTTAGCCTTGTGTGTCTTAACACGTTCAGGGGGCGTTAAAAACGTGGTATACGTAACAAACTTAAGTTTTCTGGTTTTCTTCATGGGTGTACGTTTGGCATGGAGTGGCTGGCGCTAGGGCTTCCTGAGTCGATAGTTTCTTTTCGAGTCAAGTCAATATCATATTAAGTTGCCTTTACTAAGGAAAGGGCCTAAATGAAAAAAAAAAAAAAAAAAAAAAAAGCGACCTGAAGCTTTACCCTGATGTAAGTGGCCTGTTATTTACTTCCCTCCTGTCTGGATGCAATCGAGCCACGAATCCCCCGGCCGTCAGTCCGTCGAAAGAAACGCAACACCATACATGTCCCAGTCATATTCGGGAACACCGTCAACGAAAGGCCTCCCCTGATCCTATATCCATCAAAGAATATCCGGGCAGAGCTCGACGGGATTCAAGAGGCCCTGGGCATCGGATATCAGCACAGCCCAAGCCCTAATACAGGCAATCTTCCAAGATTTAGAGCAGTGCGAGTTCCTGACGTATCCTATCATATCATCACAAGTAACCTAATCTCGTTCCTTTGAGAGGACGAAGCGATCACACATTCCTATTATTGTTATGATGTTTGTTGAAGGGATCAGGCAGGAGCAATGGTGCCGGTAGGTTGCTCCTTCCTATTTCATCAGTCTCGTACCTTCTTATTAATACACCGTGGACCTTTGCCTTCGAGGCAAGAACGATGGTCTTAATTGCGGTGCACATTCCCTCTACAGCGCTTATCTGTCTAGAAGGAAAGTGTAACCACGGACCATCCTCGTCTGTCGTACCTTCCTATGGGTATGCTGTCTGTGAGGCAAGAGCGGGTGCCCTCGGCAAAGTTGTTTCTCAACTAAAGTATGTATCTTGATATATAAAAAAAAGAACATTGCGTTAAATAAGTAGGGAGTCACACACAAGGTTCGCCTACCTACCCATCTTGCTATGCCTTTCCAGTTTGTCGGGAGGTGCGATGAAAGAAGAATCTCCAATCACTTACGTCTTTGGTTACATTGTAGAACCACCTGTACGAAGAATAACGCAGAAGCATCGCTATTTGATTAGTTGCGTGAGTTGCGTGAGTTTCATGAGATTTATTCATTTCATTGACGTATCCATATTGCGCGTCAATTCCATATATCCTAACCATCCATCCGTAAAAGAAAATACCATCCTAGTACCCATATCCTGATTGTCGTTACAAATTGAAAAGAGCAAAAAGAAACTCTCGAAGGAAAAAAAAAAACTCTTTATACATCACAGAAAAATGCAATCGATGAGCATAAATCGCGGGGGAATATACATGTGCGATATGGCGATGAGCGAAATAAACAGAAGTCAAACATATGTCGGAGTGTTTTGATAAATGTTGAGATTGGGTTGTAGGTGGAGTGCCCTGGACTGTTCTAGGGCTACAACTAATCCAACCGCTTTCATGAGTGTAGCAAGTTCACGTGGTATTATTCATGTGGCGTCCGTAGTAGTCATGTTGATGTCGTGGGAATCGAGGTATTGTTTGTGCATCGAGTCGAGAGGTGAAAAAAAAGAAACTAAAAGGAAATGGACTTTGCGCTTCAAGGCTCGTCATCGGTTAACTGCCTTAATAGTCGCAGGTTTAGGATCATGACTAGCAATCCTATCGTCACAATCACCATCAGAGCGAATCCAAACCAACCCAGCACCATTGCCGAAGTCCCGACACCGCTTTTAACGCTTCCGTTTCCGAGATCTTGAGCTATTGTGCTTGCACCGACAGATGCTGTATGCTGCCATAGTACGGACACTAGCACGAATACGGCCGCAACAAATATCAAGGCCAGGGCGACCTGTGATACAGGGCGAGAAGGGAAAGGTTTTACTTCAACTTCAGACCCGCTAGGGTCAGTTTCCTCGTGCCATCCAGGGAAAGTTGCGAGAACGATGAAGCAGAAGAAAGCCAGGATGACAGCAATGATGCTAGGGATTATTAGTCAAATGGACGCCATATTTGGAGCGGATGGGTGTGGACTCACATCAGGTATGGGAAAACAACGGCGTCCTTGAACGTTGATGCGACCCAGACGAGGTTCAGCGGATCTTGGTCTATTGTAAGAATTTCTGCTAATGCGGTCGCATTGTTATTGCAGATGTAGGATCCACCGTCAGGCTGGACACAAATTCCGAAATATCCCACGCGAACTTCCAGCTGAGCTCCTTGCACAATGTTTGCCACGGCTGACACGGTCTTTGGTTGGACCTGGGCCAGATCAAAAACCGGGTCATAATGCTCATAGTACATCGAAATGAGGAAGATTGTAGGTATTTGAGGCGATGATGAGGAGCACCCCGCCAATAACAATGCTAAACCATGTTAGTTAGCCACACTCCAAACACTCGGAAAGAGAAGTAGAAAGTCACTCACAGAGAAGAATAATGACAACAGCGATAATTAGCATCAACACGTGGTGGTATCCGATCATCGGAATGAACCCTACATTCCAACTGTTAGTTATAACTGAAGTCGAAATAGCATGATCTTGAGGATGGGATACATACGGGCAAAGCCGGCTCCAAATCGCGGCATCTTGGATGTCAAACAGCTCGTTGCTGTACTCCTTTTTCCTTATAATATCCTCACTTGCAAAAACTCACTTCTCGGGGCTCCGAGAAGGAGTGTCCTTAGTCCAGCACGCCGTTCCTAACAGCAGTGCCCACTCCCGTACAACCGGAGGAAACAATTGTCGCACTCGTCAAGCTCGATCGTCGAATACCGAGCGTTAATTCCCAGAACAATCACAACAGAGGTCCACCAAAAGGAATGTAGCAATAATGTTCGGGGAGGAATGCGGCGTGGGCAATCGAGATGAGAAGAATGGCGAGGGTAGATCGAAGGAATGTACGAGATGACCTGAGTTATACACAAACGTCAGAGATAATGAAGCCAAAGCACCGTCGCCGAAAGTCTCAGTTGAAATGACAATGGCCTAGACGGGCATTCGAAGACTGTGGTATGGTGAGAGGGAAAAAGATGGAGAGGGAGAGGGAAAGCGAGAGATCGTAGCTGGACAAATCCACAAGTACAGCCCAATGGCACCAATTCTTTTCCTGCCACCAAATTTTGCGAAACGAGAGAGCGTCACCAGCAAAGATAGCAGGTGGCTGGACATCTGACGGTATACAACTGGGTCCTCCGCACTAAATGGAGAGGCTGGGCCAACGCCCTTTGTTTACAGCCGTCGGTTCCCCGGTAACCGTCCATACCGCCTGCCCTTCCTGTGCCGCCCCGGCAGATCGAACGACTCCAGATCGGGTTAGCACGAGGAGCGTCCCCGGGCCCACGAGTTCCATAATTAGATGAACTCAACCTCCATGTCGCTCCAGTGACTCCATTGGCCCATCTCCACACCACAGAGTGAAAAAGAAGCATTGATAGTATCGACGAGTTTTTTGTATTTCTAATTCCAAGGCCAGTGCCAAAATATAGAATATTAACTCAATACAACGCCAAAAGAAAGCAACCGTTTGAACACCAGCTTCCATTTACCAACCGATAACTCATCCGATAACATCCAAACTCCAATAATGCACCACCCATGACTAAGGTGCTATGGTAAACCAACAGAGTACACTCTATTTTTTCGTAAAAGAGAATCGCTTGAGATCCAAAGTTGTCACCCGAGATTGGCCAGTCGTGTCGTCGCCCGTGTCATCCTCTTCTTCCTCGCTATCAGGGACTATAAGGTCCTCGCTGCCTTGACCAGAACAAATATTGGTCTCGGGTTTAATATCACCAGGGCTTGCGCTAGAGCTCTTATCGAAACGAGCAGGGGCCCTCCAAATCAAAGGAGACGCTGGCACGCTATTCAAAGACCGCGATCTAGCCAAAGCGTTCTGGCCCAGCCGTTGCAATGGTGTAAGTCGTTGTGTAGGGGGAGTGCGAGCCCCAGTGCTTTCACTATCCGCTTCTCGCGCCACTCTTGGCCCTGGTCCGGCTCCACTAGCTTTGAAGGAATATTTTGAGAGGATTGCCGAGTTTTGGCGTTTGACATGGTAGTCAAGCACTTGGTGAAAGACCTCGGGCTCTGAATCGGGGGTTACAGTTTTAGCCTGCGCCACGCCTTCATGACTAGGGTTGGGGGTCGACTCCTCGTAATCTGGGTGGAAATGGTCGGCATTGCCCCCAGCTCCATTTGCGAGGGTTTCCTCGGCTACTGTATCCTCCGAATTAGCGTTTCCACCAGGATCATTCACTGCTGAAATCTCTTCCTCCGGTTTATCATCCACTTGGCTTGGATCGGGGATCTGTGACATTATATCTTCCATGTCATCCGAAAAGACATCTAACGTAGACTTGCGCACTTTCTTATTTCGGTTGAACTTTTGCCCCCCGCTAGGTGTACCTTGATTTGAACCAGCCGCGAAGAAGCGGCTGCGGCAGTCTGGTGTAGTAACCGGGCTGGCTTCATCTGTCTCAGAGCAAAGCCTTTGGCGTTTAGTGGGCTGCATGTTTGACAACTTTGAAGCGCGTGCTAAAAATGACGAGCGCTCCGCACTTCTCACGAGTGGACTCGGAAGCCGGTTAGACAAACCATTGGCAGGAGCAGACCTAACAACAGATGGTTGGCGCGGAGCAGGGGACGGTTCCCACGATGTGTTTGCATGGCGTTGAAGCAGTCGCTGCTGACTTGGCGACGGCGTCAGACTGTTTGGGTCCAGCTCGGCAAGTGGGACACGTTTCGGGGTGAAAAAAGAGTTAATCGGCTTGGATGGCTTGAGTTCAGAGAACGAACTTATAGTCTGCCGTCGGTTCAACGAAGGAACCGATTTCTTGGGTTCCGCTTTGCTCACATTCAGCGGCTTCACCACAAGTGGTTCTTTGGAGGTCGGGTCCAGATCGCCATGTGCAACCCCAACTGCGATTTCAGGGTCCATATCATCACCTATGAACGAAAGTTCGTCCAAGTTAATGTCACTTTCCGGGAGCGTCAAGGTAACTAGCTTGCCATCTCTAGGACAAAAAACTCTCTGATAAAGGAAAGTCAATTCAGCCTGTTTAAAACTTCGGATGTAGTCCGCCGGAACGTGGTACTGGCCCTCGAACTGGAGCATCCGAAGTGCCCTTTCCACGTTTCTGTACTTCCGGATGCTTCGGTATGCAGTCTTCAGACCGACGCGACCTATGTTGGGCAGATAGTCGCAACCGCTCAAAATGCACATGCGTCTGAAGTCGGCGTCCGTCCAACCAACAAAACTTACTTCTCGACACGCAGTGAAATCGGCCCGATTGATCTCGACGAAGTCTCCATGTTGGTCAAGTTTGGACAGCAGTCGTTTAGCACCGAATACAAGCAGGTCGGAGTCTTCGGATATGATGCCGTCAATAAAGCCATTCTGTTCCAGGTATACAAGTTGCGCGTCGGCCTCATATGGAGCGACCACATATTGAATATTCATTTTCTTCAATTCCTCGATCAAATGACGCGCCATCAGTGGTGTCACATCCACGGCCTTTTGGAATTCTTGGTACGCCTCCGCAGTGCGTCCTTTGCGAAGGAGTTCCAATCCTAGCTCTTTGCTCTCTTTGCGCCTCTTTTGTCTATCTAGCTCAGTGCCGGACTTGCTCGGTAGGTTGTCGCCATCAAAAACTAGGTACGGTTTTACGCCGAAATACAGAAGCATACGAACTCGGCCCAGGACGAAATCAATGTGCCTAGTTCATGTCAGTATAGGAAGATAAACAGATACACCCCCGGCAAATCACGTACTTCGCCGTTGGTCGATCCAAGACTAGATCAACGGAACAGGCCACCGTACCCCGATGTAGCCATCCATATGCATCCACCCCAAGTGTCTGTCCGCTAAACTTCTTCAGGTGACATGGTTTCTGGATTGACTTGAGAAGGCCATGGAGTCCTTAAGATATGTCAGTATAAGTAGCACATGTAAATCGTTACGTTTTACCTTTAATGCCCATCGTGGACACCCTGGGAGAACGAGGTACGCCTCGTGTTGTTTACAGAACCAAGGGAGGCATCCGTAGAATACTTGATAAGTGCGACAGAGCAAAATTGGGCGAACCACATGGAATTCACGTCTTGTAAATCAATAAATGGGACGAGGCAGCCACCCAGGAAATCACCAGGTGAGTAACAGCCCCGACAACAAGAATGGAATGCTTGACGCCGACTGTGTCCGTCTCGTAGCTCCCCAAAACGCGCAAGGCACGCGATGGCAGCCCGTGGCTCTAATTGGCTTCCTGGAGGCGGCTCTCTGTCCCACCATTTTCACCGCCTTATGGTTCTGCCGGTAAAAAAAGAAAATTCCCCGAAAAGTCGACAGCGTGAGGGGGAATTCAAAGGCACAAATCTTATCAAAAACTAACTGGAAAAATTCAATATTCTCATAATACGCCCATAATGCCGAAATCTATGCACAAAGTCCAAAAACACATCTCCAAAAAGAAAGGGGCGCTTGAGGCTATGCACGAGAACAGCAGAGATGCAAAGCTACTGCGGAGGGCTGGCGCAAGAGACGATCGGGTTGCACGAGTTTCAGCAAGCATGGCTAGGGGAAGGCAGTCTTATGGTAATTGGAATCATGACTTTATCTATCCTGGATTATCAATTAATATTTTAACCCTAGTGGATCGCATTAATTTTTTTCAAGAGGCAATCCCAGAGGGAGCAACGCCCTTCTCTGATAAAGACTTGGTCGATTCAGTCACGAGGTTAGCTCCCACAGACGCAGTCATATCTTTACCATCTGAGCGCATACTAAATCCCATCCTTCTTAACAGATTTATAAATCGCAGCGTGCCCGAGATCGAACAAGAACAAAGTGAGCGGAGAAAGGGTCGCCCGCCCAGCAAGAGGGAGGAAGCGCTGGTGCAACGAACCGAAGTCGAGGATAAAGAGTTCAAAACGGGGTTCTGGATGCCCGATTTGACACAGGAAGGCGTCGTGCTAGCCCTTTCCAAGTGGAATGGAAACTGGTCTGGGCTTAGCACCATGAAGTTCATCCGTCTAACAAAGGATGGGGAGAAGCAAGCTTCAACATTTCCACCTAAGGGCCTATCATGATCCAGGACTCTCACTTTCTTTTGTCACTTATACTGCAAATCACTTGAGACTCAAGCTTGCCCTCTATGCTATAACGGTGTCACGACAATATATATCTTTTACTCACTATCTACAACCCTATTCCCGCTGAAAGCGTCACCTAGATGGCCCAAAGAAGCCTGAAAACACTGCAAGGGTCTTCATTCCGTTGCCTCTCCTTATCCTGAAGGCAGCACGGGTGTTATTCATTCAACATCGGTTATACACATGTGGCAATCGCGCATAGTTCAGGAAATGACCTTCGAGTTGAGTTAGATGGGGTCCCCAGCAATTAGGGATTCTATTTATAAATAGTAGCCGTAGTCATATTGATTTATGCTTGATGGAAAACCATGTATTTTACCTATGGTAACTCCCTCGATTGAGTTGACTTGGTTAACCAATCCAGAATTACGTGGAAAATATATTCTTGCAGCAGAACGGGAGAACAACAAGATCAGCTGTGGACTGCTAATACCCTCACTGACTGTCATCTACTGGACAGCCCAGCAGGACTAATTATGTAGGATGTGCAAGGCATTGTTTAGGTACTTCAAAGAGGTGTTCATTTAGTTCCATGGATGGCAAACCGCTTAAGGCCAACTCAGTAAGAGCTCGGCGGGTCTTGGCACCGCCTATCCTCATTGGGAAATGTTAACATCATCCGTCCCAAATCTTTTGCGCTTCTCATCGACCCATCGTTCTTCATAACATCACAGCCTCTTTTCCATCTCATCTTTTTGACAGCCTCTATTCAAAATGCTCTCCATACGCACTCTCGCCCGCACAGTGCCTCGCACTTTCTCGCGATCAATCGCTTCCTCCCGATCTGCCCTCCGCCTAGTCGCGAACCTCCCCAAGACGAGCTTCATCCAGCCCTCCCTGAAGCAAGCTATTAGACCCGCACAAGCCGCGTTCTCAACATGTAGGGTGTTTAGACAAGCTGAAGGTAAGCATAAATTGCAAAGCAGGGGAAGCTGAGAGGATTGTGTCGGCTCCGGGAAAATTTTACTTGTCTCGATGTGCTTTCGAGCTATATAGAATTCAGACCACGAAGTTTCTACACGAATAATGCTGACCGAGACATTTTTACTCCCTTGAATAGGCGATGCCGAGCTTTCTGCTAAACTTGAGGATGAACTGAAGCACGAGAAGTCCTCGGGTCTCGAAGACTTGGAATCTTCCGTCCAGAACATTCAATATGTTCTTCAGAACAACTCTTGGGAGGTACGTGTTAAAGAAAACAACAACCAAAAAAAAACAAAAAATGCACTTGCTAGTTTACTTGGGATCTAATATTAAGCAATAGGTCAAAGATGTCCCTGGAGAACAGGAAGTTGTTTTAACGAAGAAACTCAACAATGAAGAGTATGAGACCTTTTTTATTTTTACATATCTAACTCATTGGCCCGCAGCACCTGTTTTTCGTTTGAGTGCTAACATTTCTCTAGGATCCGCCTTACGTTCACCGTTGCGGACCTCCAGAACTTGAGCGAACACGATGACTTGGACGGCCTTACCGATGGAATGGATTTCGAAGGCCACCAGCCCGCGAACCAGGGTGTTAGCGGAAACTTTGCTCAACACCCTGAGGACAGTATCGCACCTGCCGACCGTGAGGAGCAGGACCTGGAACCTAGCTTCCCTGCGCGCGTAAATGTCACCATCGAGAAGCCCGGAAACGGTGCCCTCCTTATTCAGACCCTTGCCCAGGACGGCTTGTTCCAGGTTGAGGAAGTCTCCTTCTTCTCCAAGCCCGACTTGGCCCACGCTGTCACCGCTGAGAAGGACTGGGCTCGGCAGAGTCTTTACGCCGGTCCTCCTTTCGAGAACCTGGACGAGGATCTGCAGACCTACCTTGAGCGCTACCTTGAGGAGCGCGGCATCAACGCCGAGCTTGCCAACATGATTCCCGACTACATCCAGGTCAAGGAGCAGAAGGAATATGTCCGCTGGCTCGAGAGTAAGTTTTCGCCCCGTGTTTGTTGAAGATTTTGGATGTCTAACCACGTCTCCAGACGTCCGTAACTTCGTTTCTGCTTAAGTGCACAAATAAGTACCATTAATCTTCATCGAATCTCTCTCAACTCATCTATTATCGCCCATGAAAGTGTTTCAACTTGAATCGCTCATCTGTTACAATATTTCGAGCTGCTATTTTGGGGGAGTGGGGCGACTCTCTGCAAGTGGACAGGATGCACATGTATTAATATAGAAATGAATTAAGGATTTCATTGTAATTATGCCATTGAATGTACCTTTTCGTCAGAAGTTAGAACATAAGTACTCGAAGCAAACGGAGGGCATTCGGTCCCTCTTTATAGGGGAATGTGTCATCATGAGCATAAACGGTGGTCATTCAAATACATTTAAGAAAACATCTCAGACGCCATTCTCCAAGCCACAGGAACAATAGAAACCTGAACCAAAATCCGCTCAAAATTACTGATGAAATAGCCAACGAATTATATGCAGGTTTAGAGGTTATGCGTCGATAGGGTAAGACTCAGAATTCCATACTCTCAGATTTAACCTCGGGGACGTCTTCGTGGCGCTCGCGCTTACCATGGCGCTCCTCCTTGTTAAGGCTTGCAATGAACGAACGGAAGTAGTCAATGTACGGCTTCAGGCTTGTTTTCTCGTAGTCCTGAAGCTTGCGACCGCCTCTAGCGTCGGAATCATTGAGAGCGCTCCCGTCGCCCTCTGGGCCTTCTGCGGTACCACTGTTGGGGTTTTCCGCATCCCAAGAGTCGATTTCTGACAGTAGTTCTGCGACTGTGGGCACGGAGAGAGGATCGAACTCCTCGACGTTGCGGATGTCGATAGGAACACAGACACGACCGGTGCCCGGATGGATCACGAAGGGACTCTTCAGCAAGTGAATCATCTTTTTGCTGACTTCGGAATCGAGGCGTGGGTATGTATACTCGAGAACGATGTCTTGCTTGGCATCGCGCAAGGCCGTGGTATTCAGGGTAGAGCTCTTCCCCGTCTTCGCGAGGGCATCGATATCGGCCCATTTGCTTGTGCTTGAGCGATCAGGAGCCGAATCCCATTTCCTGCGCAGGGACTCGTTGAGGCCTTTATCCGGGAGGAGGGAAAGTAGGCGCTGCGCTTGGTCTGTGCTGGCGAAGGTGTCTTGGTCCACTAGGATGGTCTGCGCAAAGTATGGCTTTAGGATCTCGAGGCTGCGATTCATGTGCGGGTGGAGTGGCCGTTTGAGGTTGACACGTTTGCCACTGTTCGTGCCGCCCCTGATCAAATCTAGGTAGCCTGCGATTCCCCTTCGTCGGTCGTCCGGAAGGTTTCGTGCGCGAGGATCGCAGACCCAGGCGTGAGCACCGCGACGTCCTGAGTATACCCATAGTATATGTTGGAAACCGAAGTCATCCCGTAGCGCAGTGTCTACAACTTTGATAGACATTGTCACAAAGGCCCAGCATTTCTCACATATATTGGCCTTTGTACAGCATGTACGGATGTCGTCGTAATCTGTTAAATCGATATCGAAGACCAATTCTTTCGCAAGAGGCTTCAGTTGGCCGCCGCCCAGTGTCTTTCGATCTCGCGGATTCCTATTATAGACGGGCCCGATTTCGAAACGAGAAGGATTCATCTTTAGGATATCCTTGCGGAATCTATGCAGATGCGTTAGACGGCATGGCTACTATGCCCGCTTGCAGGTGGACTTACAGATCCGCAGTTGGGTATGATTGATACCGCAGATACGCGTCGTTTTGCAGCGTTAAAGCGAACTCGCGGTTCCCGAAGTCAGGAGAGGGAACAACTCCGTGGTTGAGCCATTGGAATAGGTAGCGAAATGGGAATAGGCGCTGGTAAAATACTAACATGGTTTCCGTATCGACTTGGGCAGGCGCTGGTCCCGGTGCACTACAGTTGGTGAGACTTAGTGTGGTCCTTTTCGAGGGAATACTTAGAAATCTTACCCCGTAGACTCGGTTTTAGTTTGAGCAGGCGCACTGGAGGTTGGAAACTCGTTGTCATCGTCGTCTTCACCGTCGAAAAGATCTTCCAGCTTCACACCGGTTGTCGCCTTTTCCGTGTCATCACCACTGTTCTCGCCAGGCTTGGGAGAATCTGCGGCTGGAGGCGCATCTGGAAGGACCTCATCGTCCTTGTGGGAGGCATTTGACCCTTCTGGAGTGACTGAGTGCGGCATCGTGGCGAATTGGTGGTTGTCGAGTTGTCTCCTGCTATCACCCTGCTGTAGCCATTAACGCGGTTACGCGGTTGCAGACGCGTCGGGGCGCGATCCCCAAATTTGACCCTAAGCCCTAAGTTAAGATCAAGATAAGATAATTCTTCACGTGATGACACGTGATAACATACCGAGTTGGCCAATCATCGCCGCAAACGGCAATCACCTCAAGGTCCGACTCAAGGTCTCATCTATCCACCCAAGCTCCCACGATCCTACCCAACATCTGGTTCCTTTCGGGCCCTGCAGGGACATGTCAGCTCACAGTATCCGCTTGCGGAAATCAGACCCTGGTGAAAATTTTCTCCCACCTGTTGAATGACACCTACACTTACTCTCTGCCCTTCCTTGGCCCTGCGAACTAACCCACCACTGGGCCCGTTTGACTGGAGCTACCGCCAAGTTCCGTGATCCAGGGTCGTATATAGGCTCTTTGCTGCGTACCATCGGCTGTCGCAAAATGATATTCTCCACCGTGAAGTCATCACTGTCTGCCCTGAGCTCCAATTTCCTTGATTTCCCTGCGTTATTGCTCTGGGAATCGACGTATTCGGGGATTGGGCTGTCCTCAGGTGCTAGCTATATCCCATTTGCGTATTGAAGTCAATCGACCTTTTCTCACAGGGCTGACCCGAACAATTGGTTTGCCGCTTGACCGCTTTGGGCTGATTGCTTGTCCTTTTGTGCCCTTGAGCACGGTTCTCGTTGTCGTGGTACCGGTAGACGGTTCCCTCTGCAGTGGCTGGTTCCACATTCCTCAGCGGGAGAGGAAGATTTGCAATGAAGTAGTATGCCCGATAGAACGGTACCAAACCCAGCAATGACATGTTTTAATGTGCAGTGTTAACAATCTGCAGACTATGTTCGACTGTTATCCCGCCGGCTGGGTGGCTCTTGCGGTAGGTTTGCCGCTCATAGCAGACCTTTGCATTTTGGCCCATATGGCAATAAGCTCTGGGACCGAACTTGCACTGACAGGGCCATGGCTTGTCTGCATGAATGGTTGGAGCTCCTCATCCTTCAGGGATTCATTTAGTTCCATGACGCCATCATCATTGGCCCATTCGTCCAGCACATCACCCTGTGGTGTACATCTTATGCCCAAGTGGATCTTGTGGAGCCCGCCTTTCTAATGGAAGTTTAATGGAACCATGAGATGTCACTCATTCTTGGAGTAGCATACTGAAGCTTCTAAAAATTGCTTTTGCGTTTCCTTCCCAGCCCAGCTGTTCCTCTACAACCCATGGTACAGGACCTGTGTTGGATTCTCACGACCAACCAAGCATCGTTATTGCCCAGCAGGACTATGTCCCTTTCCCTGAGCCATGAATACTACTGTGGTATCTTGTCTCATCACGACTAATTGATAGTTCATGGTTGCAAGCGGCAAGCGCCCCTGCAGTCGGAAGGATATAAACTCTGATCTTTTCGCCCTCTCAGCATTCCTTTTTCCATCCACGCTAGATTGTGTCAAGCACAAGTCCATTCGCTTTTATCTCACTCGTTTCCTTCAACGTTGTGTGTTTGACGCCTTAGCTCCTTTTTACTAGTTCTCTTCTGCGAGACATCCTTCGAGATGGTTAAGAAGGTTACTGGTCTTCTGGCTTTGTCCGGCCCAGCGTTGGCCGGTCTCGCCCACCAAAAGCAGCCGACGGTAAGCAAAGAGCCTTGTCATATTTTGCTTAAACATCTCAACTAAGACCCGTTAGGCTACCGGCACCGGCGGCACCACTGTTACTGTTCCCACTCAGGTGACCAAGACCACCACTTTCACGACTACCGAGTGCCCCGTTACCTCTTCTGTGGTGACTTCTGGAACGAAGACTTTGACAATCCCGATCACTTTGACCAACACGATTACTGTCACCTCAACCTTTTGTGAGGACGAAACTCAGCCGCCTACTGGCCACCCAACAGCACCGACTGGTGGAAAGCCTACTCTTCCTACCGTGACTGGCGGCCCTGTGCCCACTGGCCAGCCCATCCCGACTGGCCAGCCCATCCCAACTGGCAAGCCTATCCCGACTGGCCAACCCATCCCGACTGGCCAGCCTATCCCAACTGGTAGCCCACGCCCGCCTGTCAGCAACAGCACTGTTACTCCTCCTTTCCAGAACAGCACTGCGCCTCCAGTTATCCCACCTACCCAGCCTGTGCCTGTCGCCCCTGTCCCTATCCCCAGCCAGCCTGGTGTCCCTGGACAGCCCGGTACTCCTGGTGTTCCTGGCCAACCCGGCACCCCGGGTGTTCCCGCCCAGCCCGGCACTCCCGGTGTTCCTACCGTTCCTGGACAGACTGGCGTCCCTGGCGTTCCCGGCCAGCCTGGTGTTCCCAGCGTTCCTGGCGTTCCTGGCCAGCCTGGTGTTCCCAGCGTTCCTGGACAACCTGGACAGCCCGGCCAGCCTGGTCAACCCGGTGTTCCCAGCGTTCCTGGCGTTCCTGGCCAGCCTGGTGTTCCCAGCGTTCCTGGACAACCTGGACAGCCCGGCCAGCCCGGTCAATCTGGTGTTCCTAGCGTTCCCGGACAACCTGGACAGCCCGGCCAGCCTGGTCAATCTGGTGTTCCTAGCGTTCCCGGACAACCTGGACAGCCTGGTCAATCTGGTGTTCCTAGCGTTCCCGGACAACCTGGACAGCCCGGCCAGCCTGGTCAATCTGGTGTTCCTAGCGTTCCTGGACAGCCTGGACAGCCCGGCCAACCTGGTGTTCCCAGCGTTCCCGGCCAGCCTGGACAGCCTGGCCAACCCGGTGCTCCCAGCGTTCCTGGACAGAGTGGTATTCCTGGACAGCCTGGCCAACCTGGTACTCCTGGTGTTCCCGGCCAGCCTGGTACCCCCGGTGTCCCTGCTCAGCCCAGTACTCCTGCCGCTCCCAGCGCTCCTGGACAGACTGGTGCCCCTGCTCCTTCCGGCGTCTCCCCGCAGCAGCCTGAGCACCCCACTGGCGTCTCGCCCGAACAGCCCGAGAACCCTACCGGTGTCTCCCCCGAGCACCCAGAGTTCACCGGTGCCGCCGCCAGCGTCCGCCCGGCGGCTGGCTTCCTCGCTGCTCTCATGGGAGTTATGGCCCTCCTCTAGACAAATAAAACAACACAATCGTATCGATTCTGTTGCTAGAAATCATGAAGGGTTGTTTTCTGCTTTGCACTTGAACTTGAGTTTAAAAAGAAAGAACGTGGAGTTTCAGACTTTGTCTCACGTGGCCTTCTCTATTCTTTCCCGACCCTAGTTCTTATTTCAGGCCTGCCAGGTTTGAAATGAGGAGGCCGGTTCCGGGCTGGACTAGATTGGTCTTATATTAATTTATTTTTTTGAAGGTGGTTGGTGGTTATAATAGTTTTAATAATAAAAAGACTTGCATTTTCACTTAAAAAAGATATTGATCTATCGTATGGAACACGGCTTGACAGCTTCATGCATTTGAGCAACGCAGAAAGCATGGATTTCTTTCATATAATTTAGGATCCGTCATCTCACAAACACAGTCCTATGCTAAGAGGAAAATGGAGTTCACATCATCAACGTAAGCCAGTTTTTGCCTGATATAATGAAAGGGCAAGGAAGATATGCGTAGTCTCTATGTAAAATTTATATGTACTTGAAATCTAGCGCCGTCCCTCAAGTTCCTGCTCAACCTCAGCCTTGACAATCTCGCGCACACCTTGCCACCCGGCCCCAGCACGGACAGGCGTGACTCTGCTCTCACGCTGCTCAAGGCCAATGAATTCCTGGGGCAGGACTTCTGTGAAATCATATCCATCCTCTGCGCGAAGAGCTAGGTCAACAGCACTAGCGAACTTTGCGGGGTGGGCAGTTGAGAGCGAGATGTGTTTCGTGTTGGGGTTGCGCTGGATAGAGCGCAATGAAGCGGCAACGCCGACAGCGGAGTGAGGGTCGAGAATGTAACCCCCCGTCTTGGAGGAGGTGGCGCTGCCTGGAGTAAGGTTTGGTGGGAAAGAAGAGTTATAGGTTGTCCGGATTTGGGAAATAGTTTCGTCGTTGCTCACGCGCTCGCTCTCGAACTCGGCCTTCGCGCCCTCGACAACGGCTGGGGGGACAGTGAAACCACCATCAGTCTTCAGCTGGGTGAGCCATTGGCTGACATTTTCGGAAGCTTGCCTGCGCCGCTCTTCCACAGAGCCAGAAGTGATTGCCCTGAATGATAGGAACCAGAGCAGGCGCTCGAAGTTACTGCTAACTAAGATGTCCATAGCGGGGCTGTGTGTCTCCTTGACGCCATTGCTCTGGGTGTCACCCTTGGTGTATTGACCACCAGAACGGAAGAAACGGTCCAGAATATCGTTCTCGTTTGTGGCAATGACAAGTTTCTCTGCAGGGAGGCCCATCTGCTTGGCGAACCAACCGGCGAGAATGTCGCCGAAGTTGCCAGATGGTACGACAAAGCGAACCTTCGAGCCATCGGAGCCAGTTTTCTTCAGAAGAGAAAAGTAAGAGTAGAAGTAGTAGGTTGCTTGCGCCATTACGCGTGACCAGTTGATACTGTTGACGCTTTGAGACTGTTAGCATAAACTAGTAACGCCCAGTGGCGAATTACTTACGCAGCAAGGTTATGTGTGGAGTTGATATCGGGATCCGCGAAGAGGGCTTTGACGATATCCTGGCAGTCATCGAAAGAACCTTCGACGGTGAGGTTGTGAACATTAGGGTCGAGCACGGTCGTCATCTGAGCTTGTTGAATAGGCGACACCTTTCCGGTAGGGAACATCATGAAAACAGAGACATCCTTCTTGCCCCGAACACCGTAGATTGCTGCACTTCCTGTGTCACCTGAGGTTGCTCCGACGATCTGAGAAAGCGGTTAGTTTGGGTAGACATGAACCGAGGGCGGATATAGATCCAATAAGTGACCAGAAAGCGGTATTCATACAGTAAGGTGGTGCCTGTCCTTGCCGTCCTTGCCCTTGTTCTTACGCACAAGGAAGTACTCAAAAAGATTACCAAGGAATTGAAGCGCAACATCCTTGAAAGCGAATGTAGGGCCGTGAAATAGCTCTAGAAGGTACAGGTTCTGTTTCGGGTCAAGTTCGACCACGGGGGTACGTTCGGGGTGGCGGAAGGTCGAGTACGAGCGGTTGATAATCTCCTTGAGGTCTTCGGCGGGTATCTCGGACGGCGAGACATACAGGGACATAATCTTGAATGCGAGTTCCTCGAAGCTCAGATCGCGCCACTCAGTCTCCCATCCCGCGGGGAGGGAAGGGATTTCCTCGGGGATGAAAAGGCCGCCATCTGAGGCCAGACCTTTCAGGACGGCTTCCTCGAATGTGAGCTATATCAGACAAGATATAGTTAGCATAATCTTATAACTTTGATTGCCTTTTTCTGCGGGAATCGTCCTATGACATACTCCGTAGGAACCACCCCGCGTACTGAGATACTTTTGGGATAGTGTATGCGACATGGTCGATTGAGCGGGAAAATGAGCGGTTAGATGGGTGAAAAAAGAGCAATGCCTTCGATTAAAATGATACCGCCGTTCTAGTCTCACAGATAAATCAAAAGAGGGACTGAAACCGCTTGGCCAGCAGTGAGTCAAGTCTTTGCCTTCATCCAAAAAGAATGACCGCGGGGTGCCCCTTACCACTCTGGGACTAGCGCTTCCGACAGCGGCGACATCCATCACGTGCCGTGGCGGTTGGCCCCAATTGCCCGTGCGATTACTAAGTACCTAATTGGTCGTCTCTTCGTCTTCATCACTCGTTCATTTCTATAGTCGTTTCTATACATTTCTATACTTCATCACTCATAACTCGAAATATGTAAGCCGTATCGTCTAGTGTTCTTCGTTCACCAGGACGTAACGGTACCGAGCCTTGCCTTCGTGCATATCAACAATTGCCTTGTTGGCGTCCTTCATCAGAACCTCTTCAATCCATGGCTTCACGCTTTTCTCTGCAACAAGAGCAAGCATTTCCCTAATCTCGTCTGGACTTCCAACGAGGGAGCTTTCCATCTTGAGGCGGCGCTTGAGGTTCGCAACAGGTGCGTTGAGCTGACCATCCTCTGGTAGACCAACCTGAACAAAGCTTCCGTTCGTTGCAAGAAGACCCACGTACTCGGCCATGGGCATCTTGTTTAACAAATTAGTTTTCATAAAAATAAGCCAGCACCGAGTGTAGACTACGTACCTTAGTTGAGGACACGGTGCAAACAATGAGATCCAAAGAACGGGCGTACTTAGTAGCCCAGTCCGGCTCGTCATCAGTAGCAATGTAGAGATCAGCACCCATCTTAATTGCGTCTTCACTCTTCCCAGTCTTGCGCGAGATAGCAACAACCTTTTCCGCACCCAGGGCCTTAGCAAAGAGCACACCAAAGTGCCCCAGACCTCCAACACCAATGATACCCACACGCTTTCCAGGCCCGCAGTTGTTATGCTTCAACGGACTGTAAAGTGTAACACCACCACACAGCATCGGTGCCGCTTCAGCAGAGGGGATAGCGTCTGGAATCTTCACCGCAAAGTGGGAAGGGACGCGGTTATACAGGGCATATCCACCGTAGGATTTCCCTCCATTGTAATGGACACTGTTGTAAGTTCCAACAAACTTGTGCGAGCAGTAGTTTTCCCAGCCCATGGCACACTCGGGGCAGTCGCCGAAACGGCCCACACAGGCGTCGCTCTGAGCGCCGACTCCAACGCGGTCTCCCACCTTAATACCGCCGACAGCCTTGGAGCCAACACGGACTGCGGTGCCCACGATTTCGTGCCCTACACAGCAGGGGTACATGGTGGGCCTCTGTTAATATGAATTATTAGTTACTGAGCCCTCGGATGTCTTCTCAGCCATGTCTACTTTCTCCTGTCCTTTACTCCGGGAATCAGTAGATAGGGGTAAAGACTTACCCAACCACTGCGAAGAGTGTGCAAGTCAGAGCCGCAGATACCGCAGTGCGTGACCTTGATATCAACGTCGTTTTCCTCCCAGGCCTTGGGCTCGAACTCCTGCCAGACCATGTTCCCATCGGCCGAGTTCTTGTCGAGACCCATCCACCCTTCGAACTTGTAATCTTGCTGCGCCATGTTGATATCTGAGATGGAACTGTCTCAGCACACGATTGTAGAATTATTGAGAGAATTGAGAAGATAGGAGAGGTGCAAAGATAACATCGAGGAGCTAGGGAGTTATTTTTCGAGCTGGTATGGAATCGGCATTCGGCTGCCGTGGCCTTCGGTCCCACAATTCCCGTTCACTTTCGAAACAAAAAGAATGACGGGATTTCGGCTTAATAATAGCAATTGGAGGCATTTGGGGAGAGAAATACGTTCGAGGTTTAATAATTATTGTTAACTTTAATGTGTGATAGGAGAAATGCGAATGGGGCTGATTGGGTGCCTATCTGACAGTGGGTGGGATTTGAGATAGATAGATCGCGCTTTAAATCTTACTGTAGTATACTCTCAAGTAACAAGTCTATTTTCACACGTTCTGCTCGAGATATCGCAGGGGGTGGCAATGCTGGAAAGAAATGCGATATACATGGGCAATACATGGTGGGGGAGATATCAAGAGCACCATCGATAAGATCATACAATCGAATGGTGGAGATTACCTATGTGGGCAGTATTTTGGATACACCAGAATACTTTATTCGTTGTCACACCTCCACTGACGCCGTCTCAACCAGTATGGAGCTTCTATTCCCAATTAAAAAAGAACGCTCAAATTTGCCTGTTTAGAATAATGACATAATGTCCTCGTTTGTTTTCTTTGGCTGACTCGATCCTGGCGCAGGTGGTGGTGAAGACATGCCATTGCCAGAGATATCCAGGCCAGAGAAGCCATTGAGGAGATCCGCCCCTGCACCACCAGCGGGAGGAGGTCCTGCACCGGTCGAGGGCGGGGCACTGCTATCTCCGAACACACCCAAGAGGTCATCCAGATTATTGCTCCCTGCAGGGGCGCCGCCTGCGGGAGAATCAACGCGAACAGGAGTACCAGCCAAGCCGTCGAGCCCGGAGACGCCACCATCGGCCTCCTTGTGAGCAGATGCGGGTGCGGTGCCGTCGAAGTCGATGTCCAGTAAGTTCTCCACGTTGTTTTGCTGCTGTGGAGCCGCTGTTCCTGTAACGGCTGCGGCTGCGGCGGCAGCTAATGGGTTTTCTCGAGCATTTTGAAGTTGTTCCCTAGAAACACGCATTAGTTCATGTTATTATAAATATTATAAATTGAAGAGGCATACTCGATAGCCGCCTTCTGAACAGCATCGGCACCGAAGCGGCCCTGGCCAACAAATTGCTCCGGAGGCATATGGTAGACGGAGGCGAGTGTGGAGAGTTCAGTTAGAAGTTGTTCAAGAAGAACAGGTGGTAGGGAGTTTATCGTAGTGACGATGGGGGGCTTCTTGGAAAGCACGATATTTCTGGCAGCGTTCGAGTCGCTGGTGTTGGAAAGTAATCGCCAGTAGACATACGCTCGGTCACGAACATCAGGGTTGTCATTTTCTGCTGTTGCTGCCTGCAGAACCTTTTGCACTAGACCTTGAGCCTTATCGGGGCGTTTCAAGAATAACTTCACGACAGCAGTCAGGATTTGTAGCTGAGTCTGTAATCGTCTGTTAGCATAGCAACTTACACTGTACGCGAGGGATTGAGCAAACCTGAGGCCACTCTTCGCTGAAACCTTCAACAAAACCGGTCAAGATATCGCCGGCGTTGCTTATTTTTTCAGCGTACTCTCCAACAATCCAAATGAGTGCAGCCCGAGCATTGGGCTCATCCAGTTCATCAATGCATTTGCAGAGCGTGGGGATGATGCCTTCGTATCCGGGGTATTTACGGAAAATGTCTTTGATCACCACGATAGCTTCCTGCACCACGTAGTTGACCTTGGTACCGATAAGATCGAGTAAAGTGTTGACACACTTTTCGCTGGCGCTTTCAATTTTAATCGCGACCTGACCAATAGCCTTGACTGCACGACGTACGAAATCCATGTCCACCTCCAGGGCGTATTCCTTGAGTTCAGCCAAAAGCTGGTCGAAGTTTCGGTCATTGGCTATGCGCACCATGATCTCAAGCTTTTGGAACTTGACATAAGGTGGATCGTTGTACTTGCAGAAGAAAACGCGAAGCTCTTTGTTGAGGATATCTGGCTGTTTTTGGAGTAATAGATCAATGTTCCGTAGAGCGACATATTGCACTTCTGGGGCGGACGACACCAAGGTGACTGGAAGTTTGTTAGCAAGAAAACAGCCATTTTGGAAGAGAGTTCGACATACCTAGGGGAGGGGCCATTTTCTTCAGATAGGCTTTGGAGAGCTCTGGGTTCACTAATTTCATGTGGAGAAAGACTGTTTTGACAGCAGCCAGTACCACACTAGGGTTCGCGTGTTGGAACTGAGGTGCAACACGTTCGCAAATCTGCTCTGCCTCATTCACAGCACTTGTTTTATACTCCGACAGCGTTGTGAGAATTGTAACTCGACCCCATTCAGTGCACTCGTTCAAAGCCATCAAGAGCTTTCGGAGCGTATTTCCGGTTACCTGGAGGGCTCGGGTCTCCGGCGCAGCGTGGTGAATCTCCGATAGAGCGGTTACCGAGTTCGCCACGACCATCGGGTTGGGGTCCGCAATCATTTCTTGAAGCATCTCGAGGAAACCGTTTTCTAAGCACATGGCGGGCCCCAAGTCGAAAAGTTTGGCCACACAGATGGCAGCAGTTTTGCGAACGTACGGCGACTCATCTCGCAGTGTCTTTCGAAGTGGTTCCTCCATGTAGTCAACCATTTTATCCACTCGGATGCACCCCATTGTTCGGACTGCGAGCGCCCTGATAAGCGGGTTTGGGTCTTCCGAATCTTGCACAAAGGTGTTAACGGCGAGAATGCAGAGGTCAGGATGTGATTTGGCGTAATTCCTAGTTTACGGGATCCCATATTAGTCGACAGTTTTCTAGAAGGGCGGAGACCTGGTCCTCACATAAGATAGAGATATACCAGCTTCTTTTGCTCCAAGTCGGTAGTCGCAATATTTTTGAGGACATCGGGGAACAGAGCCGATACATCCTTGCCCAATGTCATGGCCATAATAGTCTTTTGGATTGCCTCCTTTCTGCAATAATAATCAGCCACCATCCTGTATGCCGGTACCGAGTTTACGTAAATCGCAAGCGGGCGTGACATACCTCTCGTAGGCGTACTGTGAGCTGTGCGTTCGTCAGCATTGAGGCTATAGCTAAACTGTAGGGGAGAAATCCATACACAAGACCGGCTCGCAACTCAAAGGTCTCGCCTTTCCTAGGCACCGCAAAGGCGCCGCGGATTCTGCTCATCGCCATAATGGGTAGAAACGAGCTTCAGCGACGACGAAGTCGCGCCTCCGCAAAATCAGTGCAGACAGAAGGAAGAAGTCGAAGTCAGGGCGCTGCCGACCGCTCGCTGCGGGGGAGTTTGGCAACGGGAAAGTTCGCTTCAGGGATACCTATGTGGACCACCTAAAGCACGCGGCGAGGGATCGGAACTGGGCAGCAAAAGCGTGCGGGTAATTATTCAGTCATTATCCCCCGGATACAGGGTTTCGAAAAGGGTGTAGACGGGAACCAAGAGAAGGGAAGCCGGTAGATGGAGCTGGGTGGGAATGAAGTTGGTCTGGACCCAAAAAGAGTTGTTGTCCACAAAGCGGCTGATCTCAACCGCTCTTGAAGCCGCTTTCCTCACCTCCGTCCCCTTTCCACACTTCAACCACAATAACCAACATGGTAAGCAAAGTAACCAGCTAAAGAGACCTTTTTATGCCCGGAATTCAAGAACGCCCTTTAATACTGCTTACAGGCCAACCTTCCCAACCTACGGCGCCTCTTTGTTGAGGCTAGATCTGAGGCGGAGGAGAATGAATACTCCCGGACTGCTGTACGCTTGCCTCTTAATCAAGGTCTAAAAGCAACAATACTAACTGAAGCTTGTCAGTTCTATAACCTCGTTCTTTTCTTATCCTCCGTCGCTGTTTTTAGCCTTGCTGCCCAACGCATGAGTGGGTCGAAACTGGGAAAATGATACGACGTCTATCAATAAAGGCAGACCAAGTTGGATACGCTTAGCAGTTCCCCTACATTCGTGCGGACATTATATCATACATATGGAGGGAGGTGTTACATATCTCCTATCTGCAAACAATAACCATGTGCTACACCGACCAAAGCGCGTGATTGCGGAGCATCAATCGGTTTCCTCCCCTTCACTATCGAGGAAGGCGAGGGCCTTTCGGCCTCGATTCAAACGCTGACGAGGTTGACCGTCACTGTCTTCCCCCTCCGTCGCTTTCCCCCAGCGCTTTGCCCCCTCTTGCACATTCTCGAGGTCCTCCCGAAGTTCACGCTCCTCCTTGATCTGCCTGGCCTTGTCTAATGAGTATCGTCCCTCCATACCCGCGTCTTTCAGCATGTCTTTGAGGTGCTTGATTTTCGCCTTGGGCGTATCGTACGGAGCCAGCTCTCGCGCCCACATTTTGCGAATACCGCACTTGATCAACCATCCTTGCAACCGCTTGATTTCTGCCTGGTTGGGGTCAGCGTCTGCCTCCTTTGCCTTCGCAGGCGCCTTTTTCTTCGTCTTTCCAGAGGCCGTTGCCGAAGTCGTTGCTGTGGACTTCTTCTGTCGCTGACGCTTGGGCTCGGGTTCTTCGTCCAAGACAACCGACATTTCACTGTCTGAATCGCCGGCTGCTTCTGCCTTTTGCCTGGCTAGTTTGGAGTCCTGCTGTTCCTTACTGTCACTGGAGTCCTCTAGAATTCCCTCATTGGAAACTTCAGATTTGACTGCTTCCTTTGGCTTTTTGGTTCTTCTGGTTGCCTCTCCCTCACTATCCTCATCGTGTACACCACTTTCAACATCGCTCTCTGCGCTGGTCTTACGCCGTTTACGGGACGTCGAATGTACTTTTGATTTGGCTTGTTTCGTGGGCTTTTTGGTGTCCGCCGGTGGTGTTCCTGCGCTCTCGTCCTCCCCTTCATCGGCATTTGGCTCCTGCGCGGTAGCATCCTGTACTTCCTATCAATGCAGCAAAGTTAGCCACCCAATCGAAGCATTGACTCCAAAACATAACATACCACTTCATCCTTGATGATCTGATCGCTCCTGGCTTTCCAATCTCCATTGGATTTGAAAAACCCCTCCTCAATATGTAGTTCCTTCTCAGCCGCAAGCCGAACTCTCTTGACCGTCAATTCCTCCGTCTTTCCCGTTTTGAATATTTTCGCGACTATTTCGCGTAAAGCTCTTTCTAGTTCCTTATCAGAGGGCTGCTGGGGTGTATCCGACCCGTTGGGCTCAGAATCGGAATCAGAATCGGCGAGGGCATATCGCGGAGCCATTGTTCTGATAATTATTTCCTTGGATGGACTCGTGGTCGTCTAGTTCGAGTTGCTTCCAGAGGCCAAGGACTGGCTAGGAGCAGACGGTTCAGAGCGCGTGCCAGACGCGAGGAGAGCTTCACCAGACCGCGCGCAGGAGGCCAATTTAGTTGGATAAATGGAACTAATCAATTAACAGAAGTGAGAACTGAAATTATTGAATAATTTATTGACCATAAGATGCTTGTAGTTAATTCGCAACGCGACCTCGGGCTCTCGATGTCTACTCGTCCCTCCACCCAATGCGGATCGGTTTGAATCGGCCGGCGCTGACAAAGCAACTGATAAATTCCCCGAATCCGAGGGCGCATCTATAAATGTCCGTCTGCTGCTTGGAGCTTTACAGTGTATTTTATTTAGCTATAGACACAACGGCCGTGACTTAATAGACGACTCCTTTATATCAGAAATCCTCTCTACGTGAATAATCGATCTAATCGCCACGACAGCGAGCTACCTGTACACAAACCATGGACGAGCCACAAGTGCAATCACAGCCGAAATTGCCCAAGGCACTCTTTCCTCATACCTCAGCGCATGCCCCAGCGAGCTCCTCGTCATCGTCGGAAACAAAAAAGGATGATTCGACAACATCAACATCCTCAGGCCCGTCCATGGCTGGTCAGGATGGGAAGTCATACGTCCTAGACAAGAATGGGAAACCGCATGTCCAACCCAATCCCCTCGCGCCTTGAATACGGCGCGAAAAGCGAAAAGGACTGGACTAACTTGAGATATCTACTCTATACAGATGCCGTCTCTGCACCTCAGCCGCCGCATGGCGCAACCTCACAAAACAATCCAAAGCCACAACCGCAACAACCTCAACCGCAGCGGCAGCTTCTACTACTACAAACCCCATCGCACAAGAAACCCAGAATGACAGCCGCGACTGTCCGCCGGACGTTGAAGCTTTAGGCCGCTCAACCTGGACCCTCCTCCATAGCCTAACAGCAACGTACCCGGAAAAGGCGTCTGCGGGTGAACAATCCGAGATGCGGTCTTTCCTGACTCTGTTCTCGAAACTGTATCCGTGCTGGGTATGCGCAGACGACTTTCGGACGTGGATGGCAGAGCCGAGTGGGAAGAACCAGCCGAAGCTAGGCGGGAGAAAGGAGTTTGGAAACTGGATGTGTGAGGCACATAATGAAGTGAATCGGAAGCTCGGGAAGAAGGAGTTTGATTGTCGGTTTTGGGAGGAGAGGTGGAAGGATGGGTGGAAGGACGGGAGGTGTGATTGATTAAGCTTACATTGGCATGGGTTAATTCATTGCTATTGGAAAGGGAACTATATGTATATGTATGAAAGACTCGGCTCTCTGCTCGAGATATATGGGTTTTATGTGGAATGTATAAATAGATAGACTAGACATCTCCAAATCACGGTTCAACATGTATAGCATTCGCAAAAAGTAAAGATATTATACTAACATCGCTCAGGAATTATTGAAGACAGGCAACAGATCCATATGTCTATGTAACAGGACCTCAGGACCGTGGGCCCTTAAGAAGATAGGAGTCCACTTTTTCTATCTTTAAAAAACATAACCCATCACACATCGTCATGGAATTAAAACTGGTTGGGAACAAACAACCGCAGCCCACTGGCCGGAGCACCAATCTCAGTCACCTCAGATATCCGGTCCACACTGCCCTTATACTGTTCGTGATACTTGGCGCCGGTGAACGGATCTGAGACGCTGGGGGATCCGCTATAGATGGGTGTGTGAGAAGCCGCGCAAATGTCGAATTCAGCAAACTGGTCAAATTCAATCTCGATCTTATCCTGAGGGTTACGCTCACACTGAGCCTTGATCTTCTTTGCCTGTTGAGAATGTTAGTAGTTATTTGGAAAGGCGGGGGGATACATGGGACTAACCTGATCCAAGAGTTTGGCAGATCCGCCGTTGGCCAGCATGCGGTTAGCAAAGCTGAGGGCTGATGAGTAGTTCTTGTTGGCGAAAGCGAGCTTCATTGCTGCCATGAGGGCTAGTTGCCTGTGAGCAACTTCCAGCTTAGGAATCGTGAAGTAAGCGGAAAGCTCGAGGCTTCTCTTGAGATCCTCTGGAGACTCCGTTGACAGTGAACGGCGTTCTAGCTCGATGGACATAGCCAGTACATATTCTCGAGCAGTTTCAATGATCTTCTTCGCCTGGTCGACTTCCGCCTCGGACGAAACAGTGTTCACAAGGACCGTGTGCAAGATGCCCTTAAAGATCTTAACACCGTCTTCCAGTTTGTTGGCTCTCATCGCTGCGTAGCCCTCTTGCAGGTCAACGCTAGCAACAGTCTCAAGGTCCTTGGGGATGGCAGGCAGCACTTTGCGGCTATCAGTTTCATCAACAGTGCGTCGCACATAGTTGACAAGAGGAGGAAGGCCGGGGGTGGCAGAAAGGTAGGTTCTGGACGCTTTGAAGATATCGAGGAACCTAGGTTTGAGAGGTGCGAAATGAACAGCTCCCACCTGGCGGTTAAGGAGTTGCATTGCGGTGTCAAAAGAACCAGCAGCAACATGGTCAGCCGCCAGAGGAGAGTTGCGGGCCCAGAGATCAGCTTCAGTGCTGCCAGCGCCTGCTTCAGCGCTGTCGACATTGACGAAATCAACGTCCTCTTCGACGTTGATCTCATCGCCCATATCCCAACCAGCAGCATCCTCATCCTCATCTTCTAGAGCTTCACCGGCAGTAACCGCGCCGTCCTCTTCCTCGGGTTCAAAGCCGAGCTCGGGAGCTTCCTCATCGCCTACGCCAACTTCCCCAAGCAAGGCCTTCTCAAAGGAAGAATGGGCAGCAGCCTTGACGGGCCAGCTTGCCTTGAAGGTTGGAACAATAGGTTGCGGTGCCTTGGAAGGTGCCTCTATCGTTGGGAGGGTAATCTGGTCTTCTGTTAGGCCGATCGCCTCGAGAATGGATTCCGCTTCTTCGGTCAAGCCATGAGACTTGGCAGTGAGATATGCGAGGGGATCTGTAGGCTGTTAGGGGAGGACACCTTACGTGGGTAAGAATGGGGTTTCAACGTACAGAGATCAACCTCTTTAAACATTTGGATCCTGTCCTCGACATCTCCTCGGTAAATGGCGTTCTGGAAGCGGGACGTAAAGTCTCCGCGGTGTTCTGCAATCTTCGCCATTCTTGCGAGTTTTTCTTCGTCGCCAGTAGACAGGTATAAGAAAGATAGCTTATCGAAATTGCGCTGTTTCTGGTAAGCCATTTCCACGATCTGGTGATTGCCGTGAGCCAAAGCTTCAGTGCCGAGTCGACTCCACAGGTTGGGGCGATCCAATTCCCTGGCCATTTCAATAGCAACGTCCAGGTTACCGCATTCCAGGGCAAGTTCGAACCGCGTTTGAGGGTCCTGCACGAATTGGAGTGCAATTTCGGGGTAGCCCTTCTTTTGCAGATAAGAGATGATACTTTGGCCAACCAGGCTGGACGTCTTGATGATCTGGAGCATCTCATCGTAGTTTCTCTTAACAAGAGCGAGCTTGAACCGATACTCGGTGGGATCAATCTCCAATGTCCTTGGCTTGGCGCTCCGATCCAGACAGTATACACTCCGACCTTTAACCTTTACTAAATAGACTGTTTGGTCGAGGGTCCGGATGATACCATTGTCACTGTAATGTAATTAGCATTAGTCAGGCCAACATCAAGTATTACAAGCCAAACATACCCATTCAGCAGAGAGTATTTCACATGGTTCAAGGTCGAGTAAAGAAGGACGCCAGCATCATCCCAAGCAGCGCTCTTGATACGAATTGTCTCGTGTAGGCTGCTCACTTGCTCCAGGGTCTTCGTGACGATAGTAACATTGTGCTTGCTGAGCAAGGCTGCGTAAAGCCCGTCATTTGACCACACAACATACTTGACGCCACTGACGGCTAACTCTGCCAATTGCTTCTTCTGCTGAATATCGAACAGAACAACAGAGGTTGGCGTGATGAAAAGAAGGCTACCGGTTCCGCCAAAGTAAATATCGGTCGTTCCGGCAGGAGGTTTGATGGACTTCGTGGTAGAATTGCTTAGGTCTTTAATGTCCACCTGTTGATTGGCTTGGCTGAAGACGGCGAATCTGTTGCGCGCAACGAAGACAGCAGAGGATGCTTGGCCGCGCTTAACGTCTGTAGGTTCAATGGCTCCAGTAGCATCCCGGGGAAGGTTGATCAGTTCGTACACGCCTCCGTCAGTGGGGGAAGTCACGAGGACCGCACGCTCGGCTGGGTTGTATGAGAGTGTACGGGGTGGCACCCAAGGAGATCCCAGTTTGCGCAATGATAGCATGGATGGAGATTCAACATTCTTCGCAAAGTCGAAAGACTTGACGTGCTTCTCCTTTGTGATATAGAACAGTTGGTTCTGGTACACGGCGGATGCAGGGCGTTCCCTCTCGAGTTTGAAGACCATAACCCCAGTGTCATGGCCGGCTGCAAAGAGATTGATTTCAGGATGGGCAGCAATAACCCAAAATCGATCCATATCCCGCTTGAAGGACTGGACGGAGGTCCTCTTATTCAGATCCCAAGCACGGATTGTCTTGTCCTCGCCGACGGAAAGAATAAGGTCTTGGTGGGGGTGGAAGAGGCAGGCGGATGCATTCTGGAAATGACCTCGGCAGGTATCAACTTCCCATGCCTTGGTGTCTTGAACAATGTTAGTCCAGCTATTTTAGCTTCAAATGGCACTTGTAACATACCACTCATTCTCCAAAGCTTGATGAGGCGATCATCACCTGCCGAGACGATCAGGGGCAGTGAGGGGTGGAAAGCAACCCAATTGACACCTCGATCGTGACCCTCCAACACGAATTTCACGACCGCATCGGTGTTCCCGAACATGTCGGCCTGTGAAGGGTTGGACCGCGCCATCTGGTCTTCAAAGGACAGGGTGGTCGGTGCCGAGTGTTTCTTTCGGAGTCCCGAGATATCCCAAATACGGACGGATTGATCCAGCGAGGCGGAAGCGATAAGGTCTTCGGTCGGGTGAAATTGCGCACACATCACATAGTGGTTATGGCCCGTCATAGTACAAACTAAGAGCCAAAAGTCAGTAACAGTCAGGACAGGTGGCCAAAGTGCGACATACTCAACGACCTGTTTTGCCAGTTCCAGATTCGGATTGTTTGGTCGTCGGACGCGGATAGAATCCATGGGAGTTCAGGATGAAAGAAAACTGTTCTGACATAGTCCAAATGACCGTTTAATGTGAAAAGACATCTCCGCGTCTGGTAATTCCAGACTTTGATCTTGTAGTCGTCACCACCGGAAACGAAGAGGGGCTGGGTTGGGTGGAAGTCAACGCCTCGAACAGGGCCATCGTGCTCTTCAAATCGGTCAATGAGAGTTCCCATGCGATAATCCCATAGCTGGATCGTTGACGAATGTAAAGACACGAGAATCCACGGGCTGTACTGGGGTTAGTACACCGAATGCGACGAGAAGGGGTAAAGCGGTTCGACTGACCGCTTGGGGTGAAAGGCAATTCCCTTCGCACGGGATGATTTCGACTCAAACTATTCAAAAAGAAGCAATTAGAGTCTGTCATTAGAAAATAACAAGCCAGACGAATGGTGGCTGTACCTTAGTGAGCATGTTTGGGGAGGATTGCATCTTGAAGGAGGGTTGGCCGAAGCCGCACCATATAGATACAGAAGCAAGCTCCGCGCACTGAAGAAAGAGGGATCACAAAGGTGATCACCTCACCCACTGCACAACAGGAGAAATTGACAGAAGAATGAAGAGACGTAGCTTGGGGAGCGTCTCTCTAGTCTATTGACAGGATGGAGTCTGGACAGGACACCTTGGATGGCGGTAACGTGGACTTATTTAATAAGCGAGTAGCGCCGGCCAATAATGTGGAGGGCGGTGAAGAGCTGCGTCGCCCGCGTTGTTGATCCTTAGCAACAACTGCCCACTGCATAGTTGACCCCGAGAGGCTGAAAGTGAAAAATGCTTGGATATCTTGACGTTCACTCGAGCTATTACTCTGTATATTATGGAGTGTATATTGTTACGCCCACCTGACACCTGATATGAGGCTGGAGCTAGGCCGCCTGCCTATCATCACCATCTATACAACGCGACAGCTATAATTGCCCGAGCTTAGGTGCTCAACGGCTTTAGAAGAACATGAGAGACAACGGACAATCCACTAACTGGCATCGCTACTACTTGAATCCGGACGAGGTCGACCCAACATCCGCTCGTCAAGCCGACCGGGATCAGCCAAACGGAGGGACTGCCGCAGCCCATGACCCGGAGATATACGACATTGAAGACTTGCCCACAAATATGCAAGGAACCTGCCCCGGCGATCAAACTGTGAAGCCATATGCCATAGAGGAACCGGATGAGGAAGCACCGTTGGAGCCCAAGAGGCCAACCCCACCACGGCAAGGACGGCCCAGATACTGGGAGGATTTGATTGACTCAATGGAAGAGTTGCATTGTGAATCCGATAATAGCAATCCAGGTGCAATTTTTTCAAGGAGAGGTAGGAAGAGAAAGCCTACGAACTCCCCGAACCTCACTCGACTCGGCCAATCTAGCGAGGAATCTAGTCCAGCCCCCGATGTGCAATACGAAAAACCTAGTTTGAGTCCCAAGAGACCGCGGACACAAAATGAACGCCGCAAGGATTCCAAGAAAAACATAAAATCTGCTCGAAGGCGGGGAATTGATACACTTAGAGAGTCGAGTGGATCGTCTAGTCCTTCTACCTCTACGGATACAAGCGGCGCTAATCATACCAACGGGTCCCCCGCGTCAGATGCCATGGACCTTGACTAATATGGCCATAAGTCTTTTATTATTATTTTAGATTATCGGGCGTCACTCAAGTCTGGTAGATTTTCTAAATCCAGCTGAAGGACTTCGATTTCACGTGATGGGCGTAGACAGTGATGACGTCAAACCATCCGGACCTTTGGAGCTCTGAAAGCTCGAGCTCGATTTTCAACACTCTCTTTGTTTAAATCTATCGTACGGTCAGGAAGCTTCCTTTTCCCGACAAATTGTGTTACAACATATTCAATTGGAACGCTTTGATCATGGCAACCCGCACCTCATCACGTCACGCTGCGCAGAAGGCGAAAGAGGCTATGGCGGCAACCCCAGATACTAAGAGAAGAGGGTCCGTTGGCACAAAGCGCAAAGGTTCTCATGGGAAGTCCCCTGAGCCGAAAAGAGAGAAAACGGAGAAGAAGGCCGAGGAGGCCCCCCAGCAAGTGCCTGAGACAGTAGAAGTTGGCGAGAGTAAGTCGTACTGAAGGACATGATCTATTTGTAAAACTAAGCCATTCTCAGAACCTGCGGCGCGGCCGGAAGAAAAGCCTGCAGAGGCCCCTGATGTAAAGCCTGAGGCGACACCTCACAAGAAACCAGAAGAGACACAAAAGGAGAACCAAGAGAAGCCCCAGGAAAACCCAGTGGAAAACACACAAGAAAAACTAAAGTCAGAGGAAAATCCAGATGGCACTTCAATCAATGGGACTGAGGCTGGGATGACGAAGACTGAGGAGCGAGAGGAAATCGTCCCATCGAACGTCATTGAGAAAGGTCTAGTCTACTTCTTTTACCGCGGCCGGGTGAATGTCCCGGAAGCACATAGTATGCAGGATGTGGCGCGAAGCTTTTTTATCCTCCGCCCGACTCCCCTGGGATCAGCCGTAGACCGCGGGCAGGGTGCAGCGGATACTGGTGCAAAATGCCGGCTGTTGATGCTGCCGAAGAAGAAGTACCCACGTTCAGGAAAAGAGAGAGAGATGGGATTCGTCGAGAAAGCCGGCATTTCCATGAAAAAGTTGCAGGACACCTTTATCCCTGGTGATTCTTACGAGACATCTACTCGCGGCATACGAGAAGTCCCAGAAGCAAAACCTTATGCAGAGGGTGTTTATGCTATTGCCACTACTAAACGAGCAACTCATCTTGTATACCACATCACGCTACCAGAGAAGACTGGGGAGATCCAGGAGGATTTTGGACTCAGTGATCGTGGTAGCTGGCTCATGCAGTCCAAGAACCCTAAGCTCCCAGGCCCGCCCTTTGCCCGTCTCCCGCAGGAACCTGAATTCCCTGAGAGGTTGGTAGCCTTGTTTTGCCTACTTGATGAGTTTACACTGACCGGGAAACCACTACAGCATCCAGCAGAAATTCCGAGACCTTCGCTGGATCCCAACCGAACCTGAGTTGCTTGACTACCCGAATGCACAGTTTCTGATGATAGGTTCAGCAGCCGGAAACCTTGGAAAAGCGGCGACGGCGGAGCCAGGCGATAAGCGACCAGAGGAGGAAGAGCCGGGAGAAGAAGTAATCAAGATGGAAGATGAGAATGAGAACAGGATCGAGGCCTTGGGTGGTAAGACATATTCCGTTTCTTTTCGCGGGTGTTGGCTCTTGTCGGTCTTGAGCTCTGCTAACCCCCACCAGGCGACCACGCGATCTATAAAGACCTGGGATATCACGCCCAGGACAAATATTCCAAACTGGAGACAACCTGGGATGTAAAACAGGAGGAATAATAAGGCGTGGGGAATTATCGACCAAGTCTGGTCTGTAGTGCACTGCCATCCGTGGTGGACAAGTAATATTGCTGCACTGTTCAAAGTGCGAAAAGAAAAAAGAATGTCATCTTTTCTCTCACTCTTCAGATTAACGTCGTAATAAACACGGCGTAGTCCGACTGTCTGGGGCTTCTGCCTGCCAAGTATCGAAAGCTCCAGCCTAGAATCTGCGACTAAATCCATGGTGCAGCAACTCGTTGGATCTTCCCTAGGAACCGCCGGACACTCCAACAAATCAAAGCCGCTGCTTCCACCACGTTCAATGTCTTCATTTCTGCCGAGCAACGGCGATCGCTTCCAGAACACCACGGCGAATCTCAAATATCGCGTCTCGCGGTAGCTAAGCTATTTATTTCCCGAAACCCGCCGCGATGTTACTTGATCACACCTCTTTGAATTGCGAAGATCCTTGCACCTTCGCATCTACGCTCGTCCACCACCAACCATGACGTGCTCCTCCTTTATCAAAGCTCTGCCCTTGACGGCGATAGCAGCTGTTGCTGCCTCTTCAAGTGGCACTAATGGCTCCTCAAGTGTGATCAACATGACTACCTGCGGGGGCACAACCTACGCATACACTGGTTTGGAGGGCTATGGTTATATCGCGTCCAACGCCCGTGACAAATATGGTGATACTCTGGCTGGTGTTGGTAGCTCTGCCACCCTTGAGAAGGGTTCATGGCGCAAGAATGGCAATGGCTCGTACTCCGGTATCTTCTATCTTCTTCCAGACCGTGGCTGGTATGTACATCGCTAGAGCTACCCGAAATCTGGACTTGGGATAACGTGTATCAGGAACACAAATGGAACGCTAAACTACAACCCTCGTATTCACAAGTTCGAGCTCACACTCGCACTTGCACCCCACGCTTCTGCGAAGAACCCGTCTAAGCCGAACTTGGGATTTGAGTATCTCGACACCATTCTCCTCAGCGACCCAACTGGCCAACCGTTGACCGGCCTCGATCCGGGTGCAAAGGGCTATGCCTCGTTTGAGGGCTTTCCTCCCCTCCCTGTGGCAACGTACGCTGGAAACGGCTTTGGTGGCTCTGGTCCCGGTGGCAAGCGCGTCTCCGTCGACTCTGAGGGACTGGTAATTGACAATGAAGGCTACTTCTGGGTCTCCGATGAATATGGACCATATGTGTACCGGTTCGACAAAAGGGGGAAAATGGTCCAGGCCATCCAGCCACCAGACGCATATCTCCCCCGCCGCAACGGCACAATTTCCTTTAATGCCGCGTCGCCGCCTCTCTATGATCCCGAGCATGTGACTAATCCTGAAGACCCTAAGACGGGCCGCAACAACAATCAGGGCTTCGAGGCTCTCACGATCTCCCCTAATGGCAAGAGTATGCACGTCATGATCCAGTCTGCGCTGAACCAGGAAGGCGGGCCAAAGAAGAAGAACCGCCAGCCTGCCCGTGTTCTCGAGTACGATATCTCCAACCCAAACAAGCCTCTGTACAAGGCCGAATACGCTGTCGTCCTCCCCAAATTCGTTGACTACACCGACGAAGACCTCGATGAAAAGGTTGCCTCGCAGTCCGAAATCCTCGAACTCCCAGGAACAGGAGACTTCCTTGTCCTCTCCCGCGACAGTTTCGGAGGAGGCTCAGGGGATAACCTCTCCGTCTACCGCCAAGCCGATATCTTCTCAATTTCCAATTCGACCACGGACCTAAAAGGCGAGAAATATGACTCTGCAAGTGGCTCCATCGCCGATTCCAAGGGGAACTTGAACAGTGATATCATTCCGGCCGAATACTGCCCCTTTCTCGACTATAATGTCAACTCCGAGCTGGCTAAGTTTGGTTTGCACAATGGTGGTGAACAAAACGAGCACTTATTGAATGAGAAATGGGAGTCGCTAGTCCTTGTTCCTGTTGATCCTGAGATCAAGCCTAAGGGAAAGGGCGAGACAACGGAGTACTTCCTCTTCACTTTCAATGACAATGACTTCATTACTCAGGATGGTGCTATGAACTTCGGTCGTCTGCCCTACGCCGATGAATCTGGCCTCAACCTTAACAGTCAAGCTCTCGTGTTCAGAGTAGAGTTCTGAGCATAAAAACATTTCATTTTCGGGTTATTAACTTATATGAATTGCATTACCTACAATCAAACTGCATATAATAATACAAGCCACCCAACAGCCCATAAGCACAGATTCAAAAACGCCTGAAGGAATTCCAGACACACTTGTTCCAATAAATAGATCAAAGACAGGGAAATGAATATAACGCCATAAAGCGTGAGACAACAACCCAGGATCCAGCCATAAGCACTTCAAATCATATGCGTGCATAACTAGAAGGGAGTAATGGTCCATTAAGACTTCAGAATATTAACGGCACGTAGAATCTCATCCGATGACCAACAAGGTCCACCCGGGACGATCTCAGTCCAAACTTCCTCTGGAACCCCGGCATCCTGGCCCAGGAGGCTCCAGTTGGGACTTGGCTCTGACTTGATCCATTTAAAGTCTTCGACTAGATTCCAGCGGTCTTCCGCGTCAAGGCGATCGTGGTCTAGTGCTTGCTGTTGGGATGCCGCGGTTAGTACCATGTCTAGTCGAGAAAGAAAGCAAAATAAGGGGATTCAATTGCTTCTGCACTCAGCAACTTACATATGCCCGCGGAATACGGCCGAATCGGATATCAACACAATCCTCGATGATTGGGTTGCTTGACGAGCTCAGGTAAACATCCACATTTTTGCAATCGTGCATGCGGAACTGCCGGCAGTTGACCACGATGATGCTATTCCGTACGCCAGTGAGATGGGCAGGTCCATCGATCTGACCACAGAGGAGGAGGGTATCGCTTGCTTTTTTAACCATTAGGCTAGCATAGGGTTGTCCGTTGGCTGTTGGGATGGACATATCAACAACGCAGCGGTCCATTGATGTGACGGATGCCGGAACCGACGCAGTCGAGCCTGAGGAGGGGAGCATGATGTGTATTCCTTTGTGGTTGTTTACAGAAACTGATTTGACGGAGCTCGCCGCGAAACCCGTACTTCGTTGTTCCTTTTTTAGACCCTCGGATACGTTATCGACAGTTATCTTTGGTGGAAGCGAGGTCGGAGCATTCGGTCTTAATAAGTGAAGCTCTTTATCGGGCTCGTTCAATGGTGTGTTCGGGTAGTTCGGTGTTCCTGCAGCTGACGACCCAACGGAAGAAACGCCGGGGGATGGGTATCCTGGGACTCCAAGCTGGCCTTGAGCCATCGCCTCTACTGCATCAGGTAGAGAGATGGCAGGAGTTGGGGTGTTCTTTTTATTTTTGAAGCTGAATTTTGGTCTCGGCTCTACCGTAGCTCGGATCTCTGCTAGTTTGTCTTGCAGAGCCTTTATAGCCTATTGAAATCATCAGATATCATGCCAAACGGGATAGGCATATAAAGTATAGAACATACTTCTGCATATATTCGCTGGTCATAAGTCGGAACATAACTAGCCGCATCCTTGACTTCGTTGGACAAGCGCGCAATTCCCGCAAGGCAGTGATCGGTTGCATCAGTACGTTCTCCCCCAACTAAGGACGTATCCGCAAGTCTGTCCATCTGTTCCTGCAAGGCTACAGCATAACAACACAGCCGTCAGATCGGCTCATATAGTGAGCACATAGCAGAATGTCGACTAGGCCATACCAGTAATTTCATGTTGGAAGTAGCGAAAGAAGCGTTCCTTCAATGGGATATCCGAGTTCTGGACAGTTTGGTTTTCGGACATGGAGGGCCGCCGGGCCTGCTCGAACTCGGCTTGTGACATATTGGAGATAAGCGAGCGAGGTCAATAACGGATATTGCTAAGAGAGTGGAAATAGTGTTCTCTGGACGGAGCGCTTGTCGAGGTTTGACCTCGGATGGTAGGTGGTAGGTAGTATTATAGGTATTGATGACGTCGATACAGAGTGTGGTTCCCCCGCTGAAGCTCAACTACTCGACACAGCACGATGGTATATTGTGCACACGTAGAGTTTGAAGGGTTGAGGAGAATCTGGATGCGTGGACCATATCGTGTTAGCCAAAAGCAAAAAATGTCAGCCTTTGAAGATAAAAGATGGCGGGGAAGCTCATCAACAACACCTAGTAGAACTGCCAGGAGTGCAGTCCAAGGGGGGATAACGGACAAACGAAACAAATCAATTCCTCTAGAATCGTTACATAATCTTACCTCCTATAATGCTTCTGCATCTCGAGTAGAAAAAATAACTTTACAGTGGCATGCTGCGTGAAACAATATGAATGACGTCGGTTGATCATCAGATCTCGGCCCCGGTGCATCTATTAGCCGTGAACAATACATCCCCAACCTAGCCAGTTTAGGAAGGATGTCACCTTCCCAATCCAATCCACCAGATTAAGGGCGGATGGACTGGGGAGTAAGCTGCAACTTTCTGTGTTTTACTTGTCGAGGCAGAGATTTATTTTTGAGTGAACTATATACAATATAATGGACAACAAATCGGCTCATGCCAAAACAGATTTCAGATGGCCGGTAATTCCGGGAGATTCGGCCTAGGGATGGGCTGAAGCCCTTCTATATCCGAATCAATCTGTCGTGATAGCGATGATGGTTGGTGACGCGGCCTGTGGGATTCACTAATCAGTGGGCGTTCGGCTATCAGTCGGTCGAATTCTGGCCGCAGGTCATAATCGCTGACGACCTCGCCGCCGGTGTGCAAACCGATCGTTCTGAGCATCAGCTTACCCTCCTTCGCCCAGAACGCAAACACCTCGTTTTCACTAGGGAATGAGAATTCCAATTGGTCTGGCCGAAAGGCTAAAGGGTTTATTTTAGATATGGCCTTCTTCATTTTCGTTGGGATGAGGGACCCGCTAGCGGTTGCGTCGCACAGATACATCTGCTTCATACCGTTTGCCATAACAAAGCGTGAGCCTGAAGGCGATTGGGCAGCGTGTACAATCTTGGGGCTAACCGGGTCACTGGTAAATTTATCACCAGAAAGAGAATACGATATTGGATATTCTCTTCCGATGAACGCTGTGAGAACAATAGTTTCGTTAAAACTGTCGTAGAAAACGCAAGTAAGATCTCCACCATCTTTTGTCCACTAGAGGCTATTAGCGGTCTGCTAACCAGGCTTTAGGATTTGGTACATCACCTACAGGTGGGAGCTTAAAATATTTTGAGCCACCTGGCTCCAGCTTCCATTCTTGTCCAACACAATTCCATATGTCCACATAAGCGTATTGGTTCCCGAGGTGTGTTGCGACAATGAAGCGTCGGCCATCGATGGAGAACTGCAGCCTTGTGGCAATAACTTCCTCTGTGCTATTTTTATCTTGACCGGTTGTCTCCACCCTATGATTGCTATTGATATGTGATTCTCTGGTGATATTCTCGACAGCGTAGTAGTCGGCTTCACCACCCAGCAGAACCTGACGGATACCAAAAGCGCCAATTTCATAGACTCGAACATGGTCTTTGAGGGTAAAGGCCACATACTGATCATTACGAGACATGACCATGCAGCTAACGGGTGAATATGGGTGGGGCGTCTCGATAGTCAGGTATGCTTCAGGAATAGCACTTTTGTTTCGGAATATCAGGAGCTCGTAATGCTAATTACTAGTCAGCAAGGCACGAATCGGAGGTCACGAAGTGAACATATACTACCTCTGCTGCAGAAGCAATGATAGCACATAATTGATGCCCTGCTGCGGCATGTTGCACCCCAGTTACATCATACCGGTGGCATCTAGTCTTTATACCATCCATGGTGTCGATTTCAAAACGCATGACATAGCTACTGGCTGGCTCCCAGAGTAGGAGTGACTGCCCTGATGTCGAAAAAGAAAATTTGGGCTGCCGGGGAAGGTGGTGCCCTTTCGATGAGTTTCTCCTAAATAGTGAGTTACTGCCAGTTAGAGAAAGCGTCATACTCTTGAGATCTTTGGATAAAGATCTGATCAATTGCTTCTCTTGCGGGAGGCCCGTTCTAGGATTCGTCATGAACGTGTTTGTGGTCTCAGACATGGTAGGCGAGTGGCCTTTGCCTGATAGTTTAAAAAAGGATAGGCTTTGTGAAATTGTTGACACGGGGCTTCTCAGAGCCTCAATGGAATCCATACGCGACAACCGATCCGTAGAATTGGTCCTTGAGCTCGAGCGGGATGCCGTTTGCCTGGATACCGAGTTTGGGAATGAATAGCGTCCACTACTTTCGGAATTCGCAAAATTTAGAGCATCCGGCACCTGCTCAAGCGGCTCGATCATTCGGGCGTGCTGTATCTTGACCCTTCCGGGGCATAATGGACACAGTGTATCTATTGTGAGAAACCGGGACTTTTCCTGTAATTGCTTTCAACCAGTTAGCCAAGGGCATAATGGTTATTGGGAAACAGGTTGAAAGGGAAAATTTTCCTACTTCATACGCTTTTCTATCAGAGCTTCTCAGTTGTTCCTCTAACAAGGCCTTGGGAATTGGATGCACTGCGGGACAATTAACCACATACACAGCACTGGCATTTCCTTTTCTAGCCTTGGCTGGGAATGGTGATATCTGCAGCCAATTCGCCAAATGCTGTTGATAGTCATGAGAGAAGGCTGCTAATTCTCCGTTGCAATTCCACATTTGAACCCTACGGTTGATAAGCCATCTGACCATCACCCCAAGAGCCGAATCTGTGGACTCCCGCAGCGGCGCACTTTGGCTCCATGAATCCCTAATTCTTCTGGTCTGTAAAGGGGCCTGTTCACCGGCAGTTTGGCTCAATATAACAGTCGCTAGCACTTGCAGGGATGGTGTGTTAAATTCATCGTCAAAGGCCGCCAGAATAGTCCTCGCTAGTTTTTTCCGGTTATCTTGAGTTTGGTTGAGGGCCTCATCGACTTCCAATGGAGCACCACTGGTGTATCCCTGTTCTTGAGGAATTCGACGGCGGTCCATGTAGTACTGAATAAGGGCAGATTCAGCTGCCCACAGAAGGTCGAAGAGGAGGCAGAAAGATGTCAGTTGGTCGTCTTTCCTTCCCATGAGTGCAGTCAAGAGGTCTGTCACGAGGGTGTCCGGTGTTCCGGGAAAGGGATACTATTTAATATATCAGTCACTGTGAGGGATTGATAGGAGATAGAGTCGGAAAATATACAATTCTAGACGAGAAAACGGGAATATACGCCTTGCTCGAGTTGAGGAGTGATTGCTGAGCGTAGAATAGATCTTGAGATCCAATACTGGCAATCGCCTTTGGGAGCAGGTCGTTAATTAGGAAGCTTTCTGACTGTGATAGGTCAGGATGCTCCCATGCCGACCGCATCGCCCTCTCAAGCCTAAATTTCGTCTCTGAAGTCATAGCATCGCCACGCAGAATGAGAAGCCGAATTCCAACGAGGAAAGTGTGTCCTATGAGATGTCGGTACCGCAAAAATTCGGAAGCAGTTGGCTTTGAGCAAGGGAAAAGGTCCGTTTTGACCTTGGCCAGGTACATTAGCGTCGAGAAGATGATATCCGATGAAATTAAATAAGGCGCGTAGTAGGGATGGCAGTCTTGCGGGGTGGCCAGGCCCTGGAGATATGTCCGTTGCCTATTGAAGAGAGTCTGTATCCATAGCACGGACTCTGTTAGCGATTCCATCGAGGCACTGCCATATTGTCCCGCGGTCACAGCAAGACTTGCTGCGTGCTCTCCGATAATTTCGTGGAGAATATTCTCGAGATCCTGACGGTCCAGTTGTTCCCACACCGCAGCCACGAGCGGATGTGACATGGAGGAGGCGGACGTGACAGCTGGGGGCTGCGACCAAGAGAACAATGCGAGTACATACAATGCCCCTTTACGTCGGAGACAGCAGGGCACGGCCCATGAAACAAGACCAGTAAACAGGACAGTCAACGACGGGATGAATCATACGACAATAAGGTCGGTTCGATGAAGCTTTCCGGAGGAGAGTGGAGGGAAAAAAGATGCTCTGGGCCGGGCGGGTTGCGAGGGGGAAGCCGTCGGCCTCAGCGCCCGATTATTTGGCAGGCGGCGCTGCAAAGCATTGGATAGTGCTTTCAGCTGATGCAGGCCTGCGTGTCTTGTCTTACCCGAGTCTGCTGCGTCTGGCCTGCGATTGGCACGAAGATCAGTCCGACGGATAACTGCCAGGAAAACAAATGCGCCATGATCGCCAGCCTAATCCCTCATAAGCTCAGAGGTTCAGACTGGGAGGCTGCAAGCCGGCAGTCGACGGTGGAGCCAACTGCAAAGGAAGGGATTTCAAGGGATGGTAAAGCGAGTCAAATTCGCCATCTTTCTTTGTTATTATTCTCCCGAGTCTGTCGCCAAGACCGGGCATGATACAGGTCGAATGGTCCGGCTGAGCGGTGTTTGTCGCAGGCCTAACAAAGGGTCTAATCTAATATGGATAGGGCTAGCCTGGTTAGTTCCTGGCTAAGGTGTGGGGAGTTGATCCACGGTGAACACTATGTGGGGATCCGAAACAATTAGATGGAAGGGCCTCAGTCGATAGTTTGGACCTGGTGATTCCTCTTCAATAATAGTCTCGAGGGCAGTGTTACAATGTCAGACTTCATTGATTCGTAAGTATTATATTGTCTTAATATTGTCAGATTCATTTCAGCCACCGGGGACACGGTCAATCACTGCTTCCTGAAGGGTGAGTAACTTATTCTACCTCTCATCTTCACCCGCCGAACAAAATTAATCGCAAGTCCAATATGTACTGCATAGTCAAAAACTTAGTAGGAAAGGTTCATCCGAGGGCGATCCTGTTTCAGAAAACTGGCACCGTTTTACTTGGTAGATCTGTCCTAGGTGCATCGTTCATGTTCCTTCTTTCTTCGGAGCTCGCGGATCGATCGGCTCTTCGCTTTGGTACTTATCGAAGGCGTAGGCTGGCTACAACGAGGATATGAGAGAGTAATGACTATGGATATTCTTCGCAGCTGTATGAAGGATACATGTCTTGCTGTCCTCACCGGGGCTATTAGACCGGGCAAACGGTTAACTCGGCAATGAGTCGTTTGTATTGGTCGTAGGTTGTACAAACCTCCCGAACTCCTGGGAAAGTCTGGTGCTTGCGCAACGGTGCAGTTCGGACTTTGCTCCATCATGAGAATAGTGGGCTTAATCCAGCTTTAATAGCAGTATTAATACAGCTCGGTCCTCCAGACAGAGGTTAGGAAGGAATTGTATAACTCTGCTGTCCCCAATTTGTTGACTTCGTTCAGAGCGCCAAGCCGATCCCACCAGATATGGCTAGCGCCATACAAAACTGGAGCAGCCCGGGAGAGCCCTCGTGTTTGATTGGTTCTTCCGAGGCTTCAATACATTTTCCGCCTCAATAAAACAACAACAAAGAGACGTGAGGAATGCAGGTTCAGTCCAGTGATGCTGGGAGCACTCCCTGGAGCTTCTCATCAATTTCATTGCTTCGTCTTTATCATCACGATGTCTGTTGGCCTGGACGTTCGTACCATTGGTCATGGTCATGGATTACTTCCATTGCCGAGTTCCATTCTCACTTGAGTGGATGCTCATGGGTTACAAGAGGGGCCGCCAGGCCATAACTTCTCTGGTGCATTCCTTCTCAAACCAGCTGTTATGCGAGCAAATGAATGCTGGTTCGCTTTGATTCGACTCTCGCACTCAGTCCTGACTGAATGACGGTGAGGGAAGAGCTTTAGAAGTCCATCCCTCGATTTTTATTGAACTACACCTCTGATATCCAGGTAGATCTAGTTTGCCCTCTCAGTTTCTGGCGAACAAGCCTAATATCTTTCAGGTCGTATACATAACTGCCCAGACAGCTCAGGAACGTGCTAGAGGTGAAGTGCCCCTTGGACCGGGTGGTTCATCTGCAGTACAAAAAACGCGACTCTCCTTCTCTGCGCTAGGTTGTGTCAGGCTTTTTTTACCTCTTAATTGCTCTCTTTGTCGCGTCAGAGTTCCTCATGGTTTCTTTCTCCTTCCTCGCCGAGGTAGTTCTCCTCGTTGCCTCATGTTTCATCTCCGCCGTGGCTGGCGATGCTAGCTATGTCGCCGTCGAGAAACTCCAAAACGCCCCAGTTGGCTGGATAAAGGGCCCCGCTGCACCTCCGTCAAAGATGATGAAGTTTCACATAGCAGTCCGCCCGGAGAGGGCTGCCGAATTCGAACTGATGGTACTTGATATGTCGACGCCCGGCCACCCCAATTATGGTCAACATATGAAACGTGATGAGGTCAGGGATTTCATTCGCCCTTCAGATTACACAATGGAGCAGGTTCTATCTTGGCTGGATTCGGAAAATGTACCCAAGGAGTCCATGAAGATTCGTGGGAACTGGGTCGAAGTTACGATGCCCGTATCCCAAGCGGAGTCGTTGATGAAGACTAGGTTCTATAGGTATACCCACAGAGGAACTCGCAGAAACACAATCAGGACACTCGATTACTCGGTACCACGAGAGATGCACCCATATATTCAAACAATCCAACCGACCACTCATTTTGAACAGCCTAACACACAGGTGATCCACCCAACTTTCCGGCCAATTTCTATGGCTCCTTCATCGTCACATCGCGAGCCAGTAGTGGACTGCTCGAGCCAAGTGACTCCTGGTTGTCTCCGGCAGCTTTATGGCCTCTACGATACGGAAGCCAGTCCTGATCCTCGCAACCGGCTTGGTATATCCGGCTACTTGGATCAGTATGCACGCTACAGCGATTTCCACAAGTTCATGGGTATGTTCGCGCCGAACAGGACAGACGCCAACTTCACAGTCGAGACCATCAACGGGGGTCTCAACATCCAGAACTCATCGATTGGTAGCACCGAAGCCAGTTTGGATGTTCAATACGCGATAGCTCTTGCATACAACCCGTTAACAACCTACTACACCACAGGAGGTCGGGGGCCAGTCATCCCGGAGGCTGGCGAGTCAGGAGAAAGCGAATCTACCAATGAGCCGTACCTCGAACAACTTCATTATCTACTCGATCTCTCGGACGACGAGCTCCCTGCGGTTCTGTCGACCTCGTATGGTGAGAACGAGCAGAGCGTTCCCGAGTCCTACTCCGAAGCGTCCTGCCATCTATTCGCCCAGCTTGGTGCACGCGGTGTCTCCGTTCTCTTCAGTAGTGGCGATGATGGTGTTGGCAGATCATGCTTAACAAACGATGGTACCAACAGGACCAGATTCCAGCCCATATTTCCGGCCTCATGCCCATTCGTCACCTCAGTCGGTGGGACATATAAGACCGACCCCGAGATCGCCGTAGACTTCTCCGGAGGGGGCTTCTCAGACCGATTCAAGCGCCCGGCGTATCAAGAAGCAAGTGTTGGTGGTTATTTGGAAAAACTTGGCAAGAAGTGGGAGGGACTGTACAACCCTGAAGGAAGAGGAATCCCCGATGTTGCCGCACAAGCACTCAACTATATCATTGTCGACCATGATGAAACGTATGAAATTGGAGGCACCAGGTATGTCGCATCTCATTGACCAGTCGACTGTTTACTAATTGAAGGTCCTAGTGCATCTGCGCCCACTTTTGCAGCAATCGTGTCGCGACTCAACGCAGAAAGATTGAAGGACGGTAATCCAAGACTCGGTTTTCTCAACCCCTGGCTCTACTCTTTGAACCAAACTGGCTTCACGGATATCGTCGATGGACATTCCTCTGGTTGTGCGAGCTCGAACATTGGAGGTCCAAATGGGTATGCTACCTGGAACGCAACGACTGGGTGGGACCCTGTCACAGGATTGGGCACTCCTTTTTACAATACCTTGGTAAAAGTGGCAAGAGAGCTGTGATCTAGCAAATGGTAAGCGTAGATTATTTGGATGCGATTGACTTATTCGATGGTCTGTGTTCGGCGCCCGTTCTCTATACTTTACCGCAATGATTACCTATCCTCACCTTGTGATATTATGTTATAATGACATAGCTGCCCTATTTATAAAAAATCGATTAAACACCTTCGGCTGTAAGTAGCCACCGCTTCATCCTCTAAGAGGATGTCTGAATGACGGCCTCTTGTTTTACAGGTTTGTACTCCGTAGGTCTGTTTCAATATTGATATCCACCCGGAAACACCTGTTTGAGCGCCAATTCTGGGCGAGAACTGTTTAGGGGTCTGACTCCGGAAACATCGCCCGTCTCGTTTTGAAGATCAAGTTATACAAGACTCCACCATGCACTACAGGGATGCAGAGAGTGGAGTTCCGAGATTCTTCACTGTTTTGATTCCGGCCAAGCTTCGTGCTTTCCAATCAATCGAAGCAGGAAGGAACGTGGAACCAGATTCACGTCTTGTGTCATCAACTCATTATTGTGTGGTCTGCAATTCCCAAACCAACCGGAAAGCCCATTTCCCAAACAGGATTCATCATCCGTATTATGCATATTTTGCCCTTCCTTACTGCAGGTTCGGTGACAAACCGAGCATGGGGGATTTCGTCGTTCCAGGGCTGAGCTTTTCTTTTCGCTTGTCACTGTTCCCTTATCGCCTTCCATCTGCCATTTCTTTGATATCTGGGGGTCGGTTGACCGTAGGTTGTCAAGATGCCTATTGAAACTAACACGAAGTGTCTGGTTCTGGTGAATGTCCAAATCCACAGACTCGTCATTTATAGATGCACCTATGATCCCATAGCCTATGCTTCACTGCGACCCTGTACCACCACTGCTGAAGTCCTGGTGTCCTCGAGAAGTGAAAGTTGAAACAGCCTATTGTCATGTGTTTCCATGGACAGTGGAGCTGTTGGAACACAAGGTTCGATCCTCCAGGTTCTGAATTTAGTCTGCGTTTTAGAACCCTGTCACTCCTGTCAGGCCTGTCAGTTCACACATTATTACTCATAAGCTCGACATATGATAGACTTTTTCCTTACCCCCAAGAGAGCCAACGCCATTCGGCCCGGACCATCGATGGTTTCTGCTACCAACACCACCTGAATTATTTTATCTCCCCTGCTCTCTGCAATGATCGCCACGAGGGCAGCGTTCCCCCGGCCACTCCGATTATTATCTCAAGCGTTGCTTCTTGGCGGGCTCGTTTTTATCGCATGCCAAACAGCCCTTAAGCTTCACACTCAGTTAAACGAGCCACCGCCGAAAACACTTCGCCCTGATCAGCTGTGCAAGTCGGGCAAACCTCAACAAGGAAATGAAGTCCAACAATACGGAACCCTTTCCGCACCGGTTTGCCAGACATTCCCTGCCGCTGCCTTCGCAGAAGATGGGATCCAAGTGGTTTTAAAAATTGGCGCAGCCGAGGCCGACAGGCTGATGACCTCGCATGTCAACGGCTCAACATCATGTATACCGAATCTTTTGGTGGTGTCCGATATAAGCCAGACGCTTGGCCCATTTCATGCCCACGACGTGCTGGCGGATGTGATCCACATTCTATCGGAGGGGGACCGACAGATTTACCAGTACCAGCGAGAGTCTTATTACTATTGGAGCACGGGACTGGAGCCTAATCAGGCGGCGCGGAACCTGGACCGATATAAGTTCCTTGCCATGGTTGAATATGCCTATGCCCAGAATCCGAATGCGAAATGGTACGTGTTTACGGAAACGGATACAACGGTGCTTTGGGAAAACATGGTACAGCTTCTAGAACGGTTCAACTGGGCTGATCCCATATATATTGGATCTCCCAGTCCGGGTAGACGATGGGAATCATATTTTGAGTCGCAGCCTACATTTTTTGTCTACGGTGGATCTGGAATAGTACTTTCTGTCACTGCGATAGAGAAGCTACTGCAGGGAAGTCGAAGGGGAAGTGGTGATATCGCATCCCGGCTTTTGATCAACAAGTACCAGCAATTAGTCCGAGATGACTGCTGCGGAGATTCAGTATTGGGTTATGTTTCGTTTCAGGAAGGCGTCAAGATACAAGGGCAGTGGCCAATGTTCAACCCTCACCCCCTTCATAAAACTCCTTTAAGTAAAGCTTATTGGTGTCAGCCCGCCATCAGCTTCCATAAGAGCGACCCTATCGCCGCGAGGGAACTCTGGGACTGGGAACAAAAGTTGCGACAGGAGAGAGGGCCGGACCAGCAGCAGCGCCCGATCTTATACCGCGACATCGTCGATTTCTTCGATTTTTCATCCACCCCCGTCCGAAACGACTGGAATAACGTCGAATTGGATGCCTTCGATGCACCCACAGAAGAAGCCCACAAATCCTTCGATTCCTGCAAAGAAGCATGCCAAAATCACCCGGAGTGCTTCCAATTCACCCACTACCGGAAGCAGTGCCGTATGTCGAATATCATCAATTTTGGAATTCCTGCGCCGCCAAGCAAGTCCGACATGACCGACAGTGTGCATTCAGTAGCGGGCTGGGATGTGGACAAGATCCAGAACTTCAAAACCAATCATGACTGTAGTGAGGTGGAATGGCCAGAGCCAAGCATAGAGCGTATATACTAACTTAATGTACATAATCATTTTCCGCACGTACGGAGTACGATTTTACGAAAACAGATCACGTCCAGTGTTATGATATTTTGGCAAGCCAATGTTGACGTTTAATGATCATCGGTATAAAGTGTAGTTAAATGCCCTAAACTCCAAAGACGATCAAAAGTTACTACTAGTACGTACAGAGTAAGCCTATTCTTGGCTGAGGGCGACCTTGTCCACGTGATTCCGTTTGCCAAGACATGCGGCGAAGCTGTTGGAAGGCCGAAGTGAAGCTCCTGCGGACAACGTCAACCACCCAAGCTCTCAACCCATCAACACCCATCCTTTCCCAAATTCTCCTCAAGTTTCCTCATCTCTTAACGTTTGGCTTATATAATTCTGCCACAGTCCGCATATCTCTCTGTTTCCCAGCACCATGGCCAAAGAACTAAAATCGCTCGTCACCGAGCTCAACAATGCCGTAAACCGGAAGCAATTCGACAAAGCCAACGACCTCCTCAGCCGCGCAAAACGCACCCTCCTGCTACAGAATGCCCTCATCCCGACCTCTTCCACATCGCCCGACCTTCTCGTTCTCGCACGTGAGACTCTCGAGCTCGGAGCCATCGGCGCCATCCGACAGACCGACGCTCACTCTTTCACCCGATACTACCAGCAGCTACAGCCTTTCTACGATCTGGAGCGAGACTCTACAAGCGGGAAGAAAATTGACGTGAAGTCCAGTCAGCGCAGCAAGATCACGGGACTGTATCTTTTGCTTTTGCTGAGCTCCGGTGATGGCACGAGTTTCCATACGGTGCTCGAGGGACTGGTTGAGGAGGCGAGTTTGAAGGAGAAGTCGGTTGAGGATGATCCTTATATCAAGTATCCGGTTGATCTGGAGAGGAATCTGATGGAGGGGAGCTATGATAAGGTGTGGCGGGAGACGAACTCTGAGAGAGTCCCTTCAGAGGACTTTGCTCTGTTTTCGAATGTACGTTTCATTTTCTTATTTGTGATATTTTTGTCACGTTTATCTTTGTATGGCTGGCTAACTGCTTGATTTAGGTGCTCGTTGGAACCATCCGCAGTGAAATCGCCGACTGCTCCGAGAAAGCTTACCCGTCGCTCCCGATATCCAACGCCAAGAACCTCCTCTTCCTTGAGTCCGAAGGTGCTGTTATGGAGTTCGCCCAGCAGCGTGGATGGGCTCTCCGCGACGGCCGGATATACTTCCCTGTTGAGTCGGAGGCGGCGACGCGCTCGGAAAAAGATATCCTTGTGGCCAGCGGCTCGATCATCGAGAACGCTATTGGGTACGCTCGGGAGTTGGAGACGATTGTTTAGATTTACAATTTACCCTTGTCTCGGTATGCTAGTCTACTGGATGGTATATGCTGCATCATGAATCTTAGAGCGTTTATAATTCACTTATCTTGTCCTACTACTCGGACTTTGTCACCTTATTGTCTACACCTCAGCCTTCCATACGCAAACCCTCTTATCATAGAAACTGCTCGACACAACCCGGAGCTCTCCAGTAGCCTGATCCTCCGGCCTCCAAACATCGGACGCATAGTTCATACTCTCATGTTCCGTAAACTCCGCCAACACCTCAATACCAGCCGCACCATCCTCTCCTCCAACCTCAACGCGCACAACCCTAGTCCCACCATGCATACAACTAGCAAGAACCAAGAACGTCCACTTCTCCTCTCCCTGGGAAGCAGACTTGGCAGGTTCAGTCTTCGTACTGTTCAGGAGCTGCAGCCGCCAAACACCCCCGCCCAGTCCAGCTTCCGCAAGGACATCCCCTCCCCTCGTAGCGTGGTATACCCGGAGATTCTCATCGTAACTACCCGTAAGTAACAATGGTTCGCCATTCGCGAGGGGATATGAGAGCGGAATTGGTAAGGGAACGATAGAAGTCACGCCGGCCGTGTGGTGACGGGCTTTATCGTCCGCATTGAGAAGTAGAGGGGGTAGCGGGGTGTTCTCGGCATCATTATCCTTATCCTCATCATTATCTTCGTTCTCACCCGCTTGTGTTTCAGATCGAGGTTTCTTGGTATCCGGGAATCGCCGCGTGTGTAATGAGCCGAAGTCATTCCCCGTAAATAGATACGGCGTGTACGTCCAGTCTGAGTCTTGCTTGGCAGTCAGAGTTTCCAGACTCGGATATGACGCGGCAGCGACAAACCAAATCTCAATCGGCTGCCTCGCTTCGAAAGTCCCAAGCTCCGTGGCCTGTTCGTCTCCATCGCCTTTGTCACTGGCACTAGTATCAATGGGTTCAACCCCAAAGACGCCTGTCCGCCCATCACTAAACGTTACCGCAAACCCATCCTTGGCCGCAGCAGAACGTGAAGGGTCAAGCCAGTTCTCTGGTAGCCAAGCCAGGAACAGCGCGGGAGTAGATTGGTCCTCGTGGACATTCTTGGTCCAGAGAAGCGTGAATCCAGTCTCGGAGACGGCGAATAGAGAGACAGATGCATCACTTGATGCAATGGCGAGAATACTGGGGTGGCGTGGGTGGAACTGAAGGTCAAACACGGCCGCGTTCAGGGCGTGCCGCGATGTTTGGGATCTGATGATGTTTATCAGCGAGATTTACCCTTTACACTTTGATATATGTGTCATATTTTATTGGGTTAGATGGGGCTGAGGAAATGGGCACCTACAATGTATCAGTTTCCGGGTCTAGGTGCCAGAGCTGCAAGGAGCCAGTTTTTGATTGCTGGATTGTTTCTGAGCCATCTTCTTCTGTGGATTTGGTTTCGGAAAGGAGGTATGTGCCGACTACGAAGTTGTTTTGGGATGCTGGGCAGAATTGGAGGCAGCTGGGGGGTTGATCGAGGTAGGTTGTCGTCGTTGAAGAGGGGTGTTGGGGTGGCATTTTTAATCGTTTCGGTGGGATGAGATATGGTGCTTTTGCCTATTCTAAGATTTATTTGATGATTTAAGGGGGTTGTTTATATAAACGAAACATCGGATATGTGAGTCCAGAGACAAAACATAAATTGGTTCATGAGGTTGTGGCCCGAGATTTACAGTTGCGGAGTCTTGGCAGGCCGCATCTATAACAAGAGCCCAAGTTCTTCGACAACAATATTCGTATTTCCAGGCATTCTAATATTGCAACTCAGCCGTCTACTTCGATGTAGAACCAGGCCAAGCCTTGGACAAAAATTCCGCCAAATCCTGTTTTATCTCCTTGGGTCGTTCAAAAGCCGCAAAATGCCCACCCTAATACATATGAGCTTTGGGTCAAACCACAGTAATGTATGAAGTGCCTACCTCTGTGTGTTGGTTGAAGTATACCAAGTTCCCAGTCTTCTCAACCCAAGACTTAGGAACGGGCATTAGCTCCTGAGGGAAATACGAGTACCCCAGGGGTTTGTGTAGATAGAGTTCCTTTGTCATAGATAATGGGGGTGAAGGAGGTATCGGGTTGAGCTGTACCAGTGATCAGCAAATTGCGCTTCTAAGCATATGTGTGACGAGATCTACCTCGCGGTAAGGGTATATAGCTCTTGGGAATGACTCAGTAAACCAGTAAAGAGTAATGTGTTCTAGAATGGCTTCTTTTGACAGAGGAGCATCTGGCCATTCGAGATACTTCTCACCAACCCTATGTATCTTGATCAGATGGAGACTTTTCGCGAGATAATATGAGAGCTTACCAAGCAAGCAACGCCAATGGGCTGGAGGCTAAAACATGTCCAATTGTAGCTGGCCTGGTACCATGCTCTTCAGCATATGCCTTGCCGGAGTACAGAAAGCGGTTGAAACGCTCTAGTCCGCGCTTCTCAAGCTCGCTTATGCCCTCATCAGATACGCCCTCGGGCCGAGAAGTCAACGGACAAAAGTTCACTTAAAACCTATGGTAAGTTATGTGGACATGAAGTCTGGAATCAGAAGCTTACAGTGAACAGCTGGTAGAGTCAGCATTTAAAATTTGAAACTTTAGGGTCTGGGCAATAATCGGAGGCTCACCTTTACAGCTGTCGTAGTAAACACCTAGTAGCCTTGCAACTCTGCTTCCGATGTCTCCGCCCTGAGATACGTATCCGCTGGCAAAACCCAGGCCTTTCATCAGTTGGTCGATTATGCGAGCAGAATCAGCATTGGTGAAGTCCTTATCGAGTGGAGGCCCGGAAGAAAATGCATATCCAGGTAGCGACGGAACAATCAAGTGGTACGGCAGAGTACTGGGAGTGTACTCGTCCTTGAACAATTGAAGCATTGGAAGAAACTCGAAGTAGCTTCCTGTGATATTGCGTTAGATTATAGTTAGATATGCAGGAGAATAGCCTTACCAGGCCACCCGTGCATCAGTACAATGGGCACCGCATCTGGCTTTTCAGAGAACAGGGCTGCGAAATGAATCGTCAAGCCCTCGATCTCGGTGGTATACTGGGGGAAGCTATTGGCACGCTTTTCAACTGATCGCCTGCAATGGTCAGTGCCAGATAGCTATAAAGCAGGCTGGCTCAAATACCAGTCAAATTTGTTCAACCACTCGGCCTTCATCGTAGACATCCACTCGTGGGTGACGCCATATCTGCCGTCTGTCTGGAGGTTCTCGTAAGTCTGAGGGGCAATCTTGGAGAGCTTCACTAGAGTCTGGAAGTCGGATAGTTGCTCGTCAGAAACCGCAATGCGAAACGGCGACAGCGTAATTGACGCGGTAGAAGGAAGCTTGCTGAATGGGGTGGCCATGTTGAAGGAGATACCCTGTTGTTTTCTGGAACTGGTCTCTGATGAAGTTGAGGGGAAGATCAGGGCCAATTTTATATCGATGAAGAGCTTGGATGTGTATTATTAACGATGAAGATCTATCCTATCCCCAAGCGTCCGTGATGAGTTCTAGATCTGCCTTTTGTCACCTTGCTGCCTACCTGTCAGTCGCGGCTGCCTAGGAGAGGTCGAAGATCGACACTGTCACTAATGAATACAGCTTGGTCTGAAGCGAGGAGCATCAATGTGAGTCAGAGAGCCTTGGTATCCCCGGCGATGAGGGCGCATTAATAATGCAAGATACGAGGATGACGTCTTGGGAGATCTTGGTATACCTAATGCGGGGTTGACATTTCCCGCACCTCCACAATCACCTCTTGCGGGGGCCATCGCTCAGGTCATCAGGTGTATGTGCTTTAGCTACTCCAATCCCCGAATTTGAATATGTTTGTCCATTCGGAGAATGTCCATCAAGCACTTCGTGGCTTCGGACGTCCGCCGGCATCGTCCGACAAAGTGCCACCACAATAGACACGCTCATGATCGATTAAAGTAGCAACTAAAGACCTTCATCTCGCACCACAGACCATTTATTATTCAATCAAAATGAGTTTTAATGCGAATACCTACCCTTCTTTCGACTTACTCCCCGTGGATAAGAATGGTCCTCACGGGAATGCATGGGGACTTTGGGGCCCTGATGATAATCTGGGAACACTGAATCTACTGACAGACGAGGTTATCCAGAAATCTGCAGCCGAGAATATTAGGACTGGGACGACGGTATCACTCAAGTAAGAACTTTGCCTTCCACAGGAAGAAAGCCTCTACAGCTATGTGTATAGTTGGTCTATGACCGCCGCCTCGAACCCGAAGTTCGCTCGCAAGCTTCTAGATCTGCGCTTGATAAACAAGGCGCCACTAAAACACGCGCATGATGATGAGGTTGAATCTACCCCTGACTGCAATTGATGAAAGCTTACCATTATTTTACAGTGGGCATTCAACTCTCAATGCAGTTCCCAATGGGACGGATTCCGCCATTATGCGTATCAGAAAGAGGGTGTTAGTATCCAGAAGAACATTTGCTTCAATTAGATGCGAGTATAAGTCTGACAGAAGCTAGTTGTACTACATGGGCCGCACAGCCGAGGACTTCGCGGCATCTGACGCCCCTAATGGAATCCAACGTGCGTGACAGACGATCCAACCAAAACCCTTTGGTCTAGATTGATAAATAACAGCATCTTATCTAGACGTCTCGAGGAAGGGTATTGCGGGCCGTGCAATCCTCATCGACTGGTATAGCTGGGCACTAAGCCAAAACATGTCTGTAGACGCCATGTCTGCGCATGAAATCCCCTTCTCGGAACTCCTCGCGACCCTTGCGTACCAGAAAATCGACCCATCAACCTTCAGACGAGGTGATATTCTAGTTATAAGAACAGGGTATTTAGCCCAGTATGCTGAAATGCCAGCGTACAAACGCGAGCATCTAAACGGGCTCTACAAGACTCGGAAGCCTGAGAACATCGGGCTTAAGCCGTCTGAGGAGCTACTACGGTTCCTATGGGATACCCAAATTGCTGCCATTTGTGGCGATTCTCGCTCCTTAGAGGTTTGGCCATGCACCGAGGAGAAATGGCATATGCATGAGTGGCTGCTTGCTGGGTGGGGGATGCCAATTGGGGAGCTATTTGATTTGGAGGAGCTGGTAGGGGCTTGTAGGAGGCTTGAGCGGTATACCTTCTTCCTATCCAGCTCACCAATGAATGTAAGTTTATGCAAGATTGTGCATTCCTCTGGGTAAGCCAAGAGCTAACTATATGGGATAGGTTCCCGGCGCCGTTGCCAGTCCTCCGAACGCGCTGGCATTTTTCTAGACAGGATAACAAGAGCCCCGTTGGGTCGAGATAGGCTTAACTTCACTCAGAAAAGAATTGGAGACATATCATTAGCTTAAGAGGAAACCATTTTCTTTGGACATCCGAACGTTGGAGGGTGGAAATCCCCAAACTTAGCTCAACTCTTATCATGTTGTCCGGAGCTTGTCCGAAGGAGCTTTTGGATACGTCTCCGAGACGCAAATTATTTCCAAATCGAAATCCTTTGAACAAGATTTTGCTAAGCTTGCCTTGGCCCTAGCTCTATGCTTCCGGAGAAAATGGAGAAGTTCCGACGACCTAGGGTACCCCAACGGTGTCCCAAGCAGCGGAGTAGGCTGACCAGCAAGAGGGATATGCGCATACTTGTACTTTTATAAAGGACTGCATACGCCTGCTCAGATCGGTAGTTGTCAATCGCAATCGAAAAACGCTGCAAAATTGTACAAGCCTTGCAGCGCACCATGACCGAACTTGAAAAGACCAACGACAAGATCGTCGAACATGCTACTGGGCCTTACGCGGGGTTGTCCCCTGAGGACGCCGATTTTATGCGCCAATATGAGGGCAAGACTGGTAAAAAAGTGGTCAGGAAGGTAAGACTTAACACAGTAGAGGAGACTTAACACCCGCTGTTTAGAGGGCTGACCACATTGATTTTATAGATCGATTTCCGCCTGATTCCCATCATGGCAATTCTTTACCTCCTTTCGCATATCGACAGGGGAAATATTGGAAACGCGAAGATCGAAGGAATGGACAAGGACCTGGAGTTGGTTGGCAATCAGTATAACATTGCCAGTACCATCTTCTTCGTGCCCTACATCATCTTCGGTGCGGTCCTCGAAACAGCCAACCACCTTATTAGTTACTGACGGTTTATAAGAGGTGCCATCCAACATAGTCCTTAAGAAGGTCCGGCCTAGTATCTGGCTATCCTTCTTGATCATTGCTTGGGGGGTCGTTATGACCTGTATGGGTGTAGTCAAGAACTTTGATGGTCTAATAGCCTGCCGAGTTATCCTGGGAGTATTCGAGGTACAATGACTGTCCTAAATTTCCACCGGCATGGAGTTAACTCACAAAATTAGGCTGGTTTCTTCCCTGGTGCTGTCTATATCGTCTCAACCTGGTATCCTCGTCATGAGCTTCAGCAACGACTCGCGCTCTTCTACACTGCATCCGCCTTCTCAGGCGCTCTCAGCGGACTTCTTGCGTTTGGTATCGCGCGAATGGATGGAGCGCGGGGAATTGACGGCTGGCGCTGGATTTTCCTGATCGAAGGTGCAATAACTGTAACAGCGGGCCTCGTTATGCCTCTTCTGATCATCGATACCCCCGAGCGCGCGAAGTGGCTCTCGGACGACGAGAAGCGCTTCGTCGACCTTCGACTTCGCCTTTCCGGTGTCCGATCCAACTCCGAGGAGGGCGACAAATTCTCATGGAAATTGCTCATCCGCACCATGGTCGATTGGAAGATATTCCTCGCCATCCTGCTTGCGTGGGCAAATTCGGTCCCCAATGCCGCCTTCAAGTTCACTATGCCGCAGATCATCAACCAGCTAGGATTCTCAACAGCAGAATCGCAGTTGCTCACGATTCCGCCGTATGTCTGCGGTGGTATCTCTGCTTGGGTGACTGGGCGGTTCTCTGATCGATTTTCCTGGCGTATGCCGTTCATTGTCGGTCCACTTTCTATCCTTGTTGTCGCGATGGCCGTCCTTTTCAAGTATTCCGAGAATGTAAAAGACAATGTTCCGGCGATGTATATCGGTGTTGTCCTCGCACAAATCGGTATATACCCTCTTCTCCCTGGAATTAGCGCCTGGACTGGGAATAACCTGGCTCCATCCTGGAAGAGATCCATCGGCCTTGCGTGGGTTCTTGCAGCTGGCAATCTAGGAAGTAAGAACACTCTTAACCAGTGCCCATGCTCTTGGAAAAAGCTGATAAAAATCTTTTCTACACAGGCATAGTTGGAACAAACGTATTCCTAGACCGCGAGGGCCCGCGGTATCCCACCGGATATGGGACAGCTCTCGGAATTATCTGCCTCGGTGTTGGGTGCGCTGTGACTATGGAATTCTTCTTGTGGCGATCAAATAAAGCCAACTCTCGACTTTCAGAAGACGAGCTTCGGGAGCAATATACGCCGGAGCAGCTCGACGCGATGGGTGAAAGAAGTCCACTGTACAGATATACCTTGTAACCAGGAAAAAGAAGGCGAAATACATAGAGTCCATGGGACAGATAATGGCTGTGATAAATTTTTTCTCCTGAGAATCCAATTACACAAGTGAGAAGATGTTGTCCAGAGGCCTGTCAATCAAATCGTGTACAGGGAACATTGTGGGTTCGTCAGGTCCCTCCGACGATTAGATTGCCCGTTTCTACTTCTCCGCAATCACAGCACCTGCAATTGCATAGAGCTAATGTCATCAACATGAAAACCTCGGATGGTACCTACTAAGTGGCCTAGACAATGGGACGATGATATTTGGCCGGTCCTGTGGGAAATAACAAAGCGCCGAGTGGGGTTACCGTAGCTGTTCTGTGCAGTCCAATACAAACAGCTGAACTGTGACAACCATTTCGACCCATATAGACCAACACATCCATCAACCATGGCCAAACCTCCAAATATTAACCCCGAAGACATTTTTTCTGATGAATCTAGTTTCTACGGTGTGCTATAAGATAAAAAAAAAAAAAAAGCAAGGAGACCAAATATTGACCCTCAGCAGGCGACGAATCTGAGACAGCACAGCTCGAAAGAGAAGCAACTGAATACGACCCAAAGGAATACTGGACAACAACCCATCCCCATCTTCTCTCTACAATCCAGCATCAGAACCAACGAGAACGTGCCCAACAAGCCGAAAAAGAGAAAATGGCTTCACTTCCAATGGAAATGGACATTGACACTGACACCCCGCAAATCCTCCCCCGGGATAAACCCGGCAAGCATGAGTCCTGCGCTGAATTTCTCAAGCGACTGCCTGCGTCATCCACCAAAGCTGACGCCATCGGGCCCTGGATCTACATTCACACTCCGCACACCGAGCGACTGAACGATGATGTTGCGGAGCTCAAGAGGCAAGGGCGCGAAGCATTGTCCGCATTTGAGAACGAAGAGGCAAGGCTAAGATACGAAAATGACTGTAAGGGCGGCAGTGCAGTTACGTTGGCTAGGAAGGTGAGACCGCTACAGCGTGAGCTGGAGGAACACATCTATACACTAGCACGAGAGACGAACTGCATTACTGGGAAGTGGATGATGTTTATCACTGCGGACCGGGTCGATCGTTACTGGAGTGCTGTTGCGGAGGCTACAATGAACGGGCATTTGGGGGTTGCGGCGAAGGTGGCCACGGATGATGGGGAGGCCGGCAACAAGGCAAGATTGATTGCTATTTACACTAGGGATTATGAGGACCGGGAGGATGTGAAGCGGGTTTTGAAGAAATTGGTCGAGTTGAATTTGGTTAGGAGGGGTGAACGGCCAATTTACTACAAGCGTGACGCCCTCACATACTTGGATATCATGTCGAAAAATAAGTATGGTTTGAAGGCAACTTCGTGTTCAAGTGCGGATGTTTTGGCTGGGAAATTTTGACTTGGATATTGATATGTACATTAATGATGTCTATAGACATGAGTGATTAACGAAATGACGACTTATGGCCATTGTGAATTGTATATATGCATTTCGCGGAGGTCCTGCTCCGCTCTTCCATGCCCCCCTGTGGGATATTGGCCTTGGAAAAGCCTTTGGATATCCCATTGCCATATGTCCCGATGTTCCCAGACTATTGACGGTGTCGTCACTGGATGGCGAGGTGATCCTCAAGAATCGACGCGGCGCAAGGGGAAAGTCAGAGTGACTCAATCTTGATTTAAGACGACTCTTGAGCTCCGTGAAGGCTGATATCAAACCGGAACATCCTCAAACAGTTTCACCCTTTTTCTCCATGGCCTTCTCACAGGCCTCGCGAACTTCAGTCACACCTTTAACCCCTTCCCATTTCCCAAGCAACTTGCGCACCTCATCCCAGTCTTTCTCAGCGTCCTCCCTATTTCCATCCGCGACAAGCCTCTCCAACCTTCTTGGAGCATCAAGAACCCACCGCACGGTCTCCTTTTCCGCCTTCTTATCCTGATCCGCACCAGTCTCCTCACCGTCCTTCATCGTCCCTTTCATCTCTTCCCCCTCGTGGATTAACCCGGATGCAGTCTCCGCTACGAATGAAATAGCCGGGCCCAGCGTCTTGGTCATCGTCAATGGTGTGCCGCGTTCATCCATACTCTGCCGCATCTTCCCAATTGTCTCCACCGCCCGAATCAGCTTCGAGTAGTTATCGTATACCAACGCCTTGCGCTCGCCATCAAGCGTGCGGATATCACCAACAAGAGTATTCTCTGCTTTTAAAATGGTCGATAGTGACGACGTAGCAAGGAGGTTGTTCACGTAGCGCTGCGGATCGAAGTCCGGGTTATCGAGTTCCGTCCCGGCGACCACGATTGAGGGGCTTGAAATGTCGCCGGCGTCTGTGTGTCGGGGAACGCTCCGCGAGCGGGCATTTTGTGCTTCGGAAGGTTTGAGATTATAGTAGTCTCGGAGGGCGGCGCGGTTACGTCGCGGGTGTAGGGAGGGAGAGACGGCTCGAGCTGTTGAGGGCGTGGATGCGGCGCTGAGGCTGCCATTAATGGAGGTGTTTAGGGCGTCGAGGGATGGGCGGCGTGAGGAGGCAGGTGTTGGGGAGTGAGCTCGGGATGACGCGATTGAAGGCCGAGGGGAGGATAGTGCAGACATATTCGTTATTTAGAGGGTTGCAATGGGGAGAATTTGAGGGTGAGGCGTAGATGTCAAGAAGGACGAAGATGACAGCTCCAACGGGCTCGGGCGGTTTCTTGGTTCCCCGGATTTGTTCCGCTCCAAAGCTTCACTTTTCCCATCCTCACCAGGTCTTTATTTACAGCCTCACATAGAACGAACCTAACTGCTACAGCCTGTCTCTTGACTTACTTCGAAATATTGAAGTCACAATCCATGGCAACTCCCCAAGACCAACTCGCTGCCCAACTCCAGAGCAAATCCCTCCCGGTGTCCTCGACCTGGCTAAACAACTTCGTCGCGCACCAACGCAACATCCCAATAACAGCATTAACGCAGACAGCGCTCTTCCGAATCCTCAACTCCGATTTCCGCGAATCTCTCAACTCCCGAGCCCCGAACTATATACTTCCTGTTGACATCTTCGACCCTAATGTGCAAGAGCGCCGACTAACCGGCTCCATCCCGCTCCAAGTCCTAGACATCGAAGACATTGGCACTAGCGTTTGGGGCCAGATTGAAGCTATTGAACGCGTGGAGCGCGGAGAGGCAGTACGAGGTAGGGAGATTGTGCGGGCGGTTAATGTAGGTGGTGATGAGGGGGATGGGGGTTCCAATTCTGGTGCAAATACAAATCCGAACGAGAGCAACGGGCCGCATCGGCTGATTCTCCAGGACGCGAAGGGAACAAAGGCTGTGGGGATTGAGATGACGAGAATAAATGGAATTGGTATCGGTAAATTACCCATTGGGGGGAAATTGCTCCTGCGAAACGCGACAGTTGCTCGGGGAATGATCCTGTTGGCGCCTGAGAATGTTTCGCTGCTTGGGGGGAAAATTGAGGCAATGGATCAGGCTTGGAAGAGTGATAGGAAAGCAAGGTTGTTGGAGAGGGTTACGGATACCGGGAGTTAGTGAGCCTAGGTACGGACTTTAGGTGAGTTTCGATGTTTGAAGTTAGTTCGTTTCTAAAGCGTTATTTCTAGTTGGGTTTTCTATATACCACCCAGGTTGATAACTAGGTGGTCGATGAGACTACATGGCATAGCTCCTGCCAGCCGCCCTGCATCCATGGTGCGATCATTATTGCCCTCAAGGCATCGCTGGCCTTTCCGGTTTGTGAGTACGCGGCAGATAAGTCGGTAGCATCGAGATTGCTCCGAGGAGGAACGCTCCGTATAGCTGTCTTGACACCCATTTCCGCAGGGTACGATTCCTGGGTGGCTGACGACAACTCCATCCAGCCTTGAGGGTCGTAAGGCGCCCTCATGACCGCCGCTGCGGCCTCTCCAATGCGTCTCGTTTCATCCGGAACGCCCGAATCATCAGCAATACACGAAGATATTGCAGTCGAGAGCTTGACTAGTCTAGCTCTTTCATGGACCCCGATATCGTCTCTGGTGATCATGTTCTGGAGGTCAGACTCAACGGCCTCGATGGCGTCCTTGTCGTCATCAAGGAGCGCAATTGCTCCTAGGAGTGTGACTGCTCCAACATGGTCAGGGTGGCTCTCAACGCATTCAAACAGCTGCTGTCGAGCAACGGTCCTTTCCTCTTCCCCGCCCTTCGCCCATAATACCTGTGCAAGAAGACAAACCACATCTGGCGCATTATCCGCTTCTTGGAGGGCATCGCGGAACATATCGATTGCATTGTCCATGGCTCGCATGTAGTAGTGCGCAAGACCAGCGGTCAGATGTGCCGACAGGCGCAGGTTCTTGTACAGTTCAGGCTCGAATTTCTCAGCGTCCTCTTCCCCCGACAGCATAAGCGCGGTCTCTGCCTTCTCTGCAGCTTCTTCGTATTCTTGACGTGCCAGTAGTACACGGGCGATGTCGGCGTTTGCTTGCGCGAACTTAGAAAGCGAGGAAGCCGATTCAGAATCCTCATATTCAGCCTCGACATGAGCACTAAGGCTCCTTAAGTTGGCCTCAGCATCTGAGAACTCGCCGATTCTCTCAGCTAGGAGAGAGAATAGGTGAACAAAGGGTAAATCAGATGGGTCCTGGCTAGTGAGCTGATAAAGTGTGAAAAATGGTTGGATGAGTTGCGAGACCTCGTTTGACGCTGAAGCATCCGCGACAAGGTGATCGAACAAGGTCAAGGTATAATGCTGTTTCGGCAGTTTCGATGACGACCGAGAGATATCGAACGCGTGTTCGAACAGCCCTCTAGCCTCCCGTGAATCACCATACAGAAGAGCTAGAAACCCTTGACCAACCCACGCCTGCGAATAATCGGGATCCGTCGACTGTGCGCGAGTAAATGCTTCATTGGACAGCTGAGTATCGTTATGAATGAGATACAGTGTTCCCAAGTTGGTCCAAACTTGTGCGCTCCGGTCATTAAGGTGCAAACTTCTGACGAATGCGTGCTGCGCAACTCTGGGGCTCATGCTTGTAGTCGCCACCCCAAGCGCGTTCCAGAACTCGGAATTACCAGCCTCTAGCTCAATGGCTCTTTTGAAGCATCTCATTGCTGCCTTCAAGAACTTGTGAGATTGCTTCTTCTTCTCGCTGTTCGGTCTTATGCACCTAAAGGCTCTGTATTCCGCCCATCCAAGGTTGTACCATGACACTGCCTGCGCATGGGTGTCTTGTAGCGAGACATGTATAGCACGCTTGTACGCTAGAATTGAAGCGTACATGCATTCGTCTGCTAGGGTAGAAACATCTTTCTCGCCATCTAATGCTGCTAGATATCCCTCTCCTACACCGTCGACGTCCGTAAGAATGTCTAGGGCGGAAGGTTCGATTTGAGTGGTGAGCAAACCCCGGACTTCCTTCATCGGGAGTTTGCCTGCTTTCGATCTGACGTAGGAAAACATCGTGCAAGCATCACCTACCCCCTTCCATAAATTGAAAATGTCAACTCGCTCAGTAGCGAGCGATTTAGCCAGTATGACGGCCCTTCTAGCCAGCTCAGCGCAATCATTGAAAAGCCCCGATTCTAGACACTTCCAAGAATTTTCCGTGAGTGTCTGAAGCAATGCTATCGTGACGCCAAGCTCATTGGGCCGGATCTTCAACACCTCTTCGTATCTCGCAATAGCATCGTCATATTCACCGAGTTCTCGCTTAACATTTGCCAGCATGTATCGAGCAAACCAAATCTGCTCCTTTTCGGCTTTTGACAACGTAGATTCCAGCACCTGAGCATGGTCAAAGGCTTTTGTGGCAGCAATGTATCTTCCAGAATTATGATAACTCTCACCTAAGCCAACCCACGAATGGTAGTCGTTTGGTGAAATTCTTAAAGCCGCCTGGAAAGAAACTATACTCTTCGGGTACTGCTGTTTGTTGATCTGGACTGTGCCTAAAGCTGCATACGGCCAACTATAGCCCTTTCTTTTCGATCCTGGCGCGGGTTTGGCTTTCCCGGAGTCAACAACACGTTGCGAGACAGCCTCGACAAGGTCCCACTCCTTTTGGTCCGCAAATTTTCTTGCCAACCTCTCAGCGGCTAGGATCTCCGATGGCGATAGTTCGAAGGCTTTGTGAAAGCACCTTCGTGCTCTTACCTTGTCTTTCTTATAGTCAGCATAGTATAGACCCAAACTAGTATAAGCTGGTGCAAAGTTTATACTAGCTTGGATTGAAGCGAGAAAACTGGCGTAGGCGCCATTCCGATTTTTGCGTGCGGATGATGATGGATCAATCTCCCATTGACAGTATCCAATACAATAGAGAATCTCTCCCTTGAATTCCCGGCTCTCTCGCTGCGAGTTTTGCAGCTCATCAAGCACGTCTTGAAGTCCTGAAAGACCTGACGACAGATCCCCA